CTAATTAAGAGACATAATGAGAAAATATAAAAATACACTATTTGATTTCATAAGGGTAAAATAATAAAATTTTCTCTAGATGCTAAAAATTATTCTGACAAAATCATCATACATTCGAATTTCTTTTGAATTTACAAGCCTCTCAAAGTTTAATCTAAAAATCTTTTGTATTCACAATGAGATCAGTTTTACATTATACACAAAATCTTCCTAATAGGGGCTCAATTTTCAAATATTATATCGATACCTGTAAATTTGGACTAAAAAAAAATGCACCAAAATGTTTCTAGAGAAACTATCTCAAAGTCTGAAATAAAAAATAGATTTAAAAGTTACCCATGATGTTGGTCACTCTAGCAAATTGACAACTTTAACATAACAACCCAAATATGAATAGGTTTCGAAGTTTTGAGAGAAAAAAAAAATCAATTCCGAGAAACGAAATAGTACCGAAAAAAATGCAATAACAATTCGGATTAATTACAATGTTTGTCAACAGAAATATTTGTCATCGACCTATATATATACAAATATAGAGAGAATGAATTTGGACAAAATTTTTGTAATATACTACCCTATTTGTGAAGGCTAATCTTGGCTACCATTATCAACAACCTCTACATGATAATCAGTAAATGTTAATTTAGTGTTTTTTTAATAGTCATTTCATGAGTACTTTCGTCTTGCCCGCTACATTAATCCTTTTAATTTTATTCAATATCATCCATATATATATATATTAATGTCATTTGAAACGTGTGAGTTTTGTTGTCCTCCATCCACATGTGCAAAGTGCAGAAAAACTAATTGTAGCATTGTTTCAAAGTTTCATTGACCAACCTCTTCAAATTCTTAACCTTTGAATCTAGAAAAAATGCAAAATAAAAAAACTAAATAGAGGGTGGTTCCAAAAGTATCTAATAATTTCTACCTACTATTGGATTTGAACCAGTGACTCTCGCCGTATGAAAGGAATACTCTAACCACTGAGTTAAGTAGGTTATTTCTCGTCCCAACGAGAACGACTTTAATAATTTAAGTTTAAGGAGATTTTCATAACAGAAAAAACAATAAAATTTTCACTGTCAATTTATTGATGAAGTTTTCTTTAAACACGGAAGTTGCAATGCCAAGAAGCAACTAATGCATTGAATGGCACTCCCTGTTTTCTTTCTCCCCAAATCGACCTACCCTCAACCTTGAGTGGCCTTTCTTTTTTCCACCATGGAAGGTTAATAGCTAGATTAATTTATATGTTTTACCTTTGTTTTTTACCTTTTATTTGTGTGTTTTTAGAATGAATAAATTAACTTAATTGTGTTCTTAATTTCTTTCTAGCCATATTTACTATGTTTCTCCTATTGGTATTTAGTGTGGCTTCCGTAGGATAGTAGAGATAATCTGTTTTAGTGCACAATTTTGTGTTTAGAGTAAATTTTGTGAATATGAGTTGTCTGGGATTTCTAATATGAAATAACCTTGGTTTGTGAAAGTATGTGACTTCTTCTCTGCTTCATATAAATATATTGCTTATAGTGTGTAATTATGCACATGCATATGAAGTGGTACTCTACTGATTTAGGACTATTAAATTATGTGATACATCGGACACACGTGAAGCAAATACGATCCAACTAGTACAACTAAATTGTTACCATACCACCACAAACATCATAGAACATGATTAAAAAAGAATAGCGTAGTGCAATGTTAGCAATACAAAAGTGACAAAAGTGACATATCAAATAAAATAAAATAGCCTTTTGCAACAAAAAATGAAAAAGTCTAAGACATTGTTGCACATATGAAAACTGAAAAAAAAAAAAAGAAAATTTAAGTCTAGTAGGAAATAAATCAATATACATACAAAGTCCGGGTGAGAGAGACACCGATATTGTCGTGTTTTAACCCCAAGTTAATATCATTGATGTAGACCCTCTCATCTATAAAAACTAACTAGTCCCACTAGCGTAAAAAACTAATCTATCGGTAAAACTTGATTAAACATGTGTCAACTCAAACTCTCAGTTTCCATGATATGTAAATACTATTTCACCAACAAGTTCCCCCCTCGAATCCTTGGCCATTTTTGTTGGGACAAAAGAATCCCACATCAGTATCGTGAAAGATCTGTCACATGTTTATAAGTGCCAAAGACCAGCCCACTCATTGTTAATTGGTTTTGAGATGGGAGCCCAAGGTGACTTTAACATGGTATCAGAGCCCACGATCTGTGGACTTGTGATAACTATGGACCCGTGTGTGCGGACTTGTGGACTGACCCGGCAGTATATTTGGAGTATTGTACCCGTGTATACGGGCTCGTTGACTGACCCCGGTAGAATATCCGTAGTTGTGGACTGATCCAGCAGTATCTGGTGAATTATATTGTGTTGTGCAACCCTAATGGGGTAAATACCCCATTGGGTTTGAGGGAGCGTGTTGGGACAAAAGAATCCCACATCGGTGTCATGAAAGATCTGTCACCTGTTTATAAGTGCCAAAGGCCACCCCACTCATTCATTGTCAATTGGTTTTGAGATGGGAGTCCAAGGTGACTTTAACAATTTTAACAAATTTATCTATTTCACGCAAAACCCCCAAATTTCAAGCGAACTGAAATCCTTGGAATAAATCCAAACTTCAATTTTACCAATCAAACAAGACCCTTCAGTGTGCCCATCCCAGACCAAATTTCTCTGCCGAAGCATTCACCAATGCTTATGCACCAAAGCAATCTCCATTCAAGACTCATAGTTCAATTCTTTCTTGTACGCCATCAAAGTTGCCCAAAACAACTGTATAACAAAGTAATAAATATTTTTTCTATTATAAATTACAAAAAATAAAAAATTATTACTCCAATTAATTTCCATCAACATATACCTATAAGATTTGGTTAAACCCAAAAAAAAAAACACGTAACTGTATAAACACCTCTTCAAACGAGGACAAACCCGTTCGACTGTAGAGAAGGTGTCTGAACCAATAATTCCCTATCGAAGGTGGAAATAATGAGGTGCAAATGCTTTGATACTTAACTTCTCTAAAGCTAATTAAACAAAATACACTTATGTGACAAAAGTATAGTGGCAAATTGTAGATACAATGATAAATAATCAACTTTAATTTACTATCTCTCATACGAGAAATCAAGAGAGATCGAGAGCTATATCATCATGATTGGCCATAATTATAATCTCTCGCTTCGACAACAATAGGTATATTATCATTGAAGGAAATATATGAAAGTCCATAAGAGAAAAATAAGGATAGAACCGAAATATAGAGAAGTAACAAAGAAAGCGTTTAGAAAAATTTAAAAATAATAAACCCAATCAAATTGCACCATGATATGTTGCAAATATGGAGAACCGAATGATGTAACTAAAACCATATAATTGTTGGTAATTGAAATGTGGCAATGTAGAGAACGAGAATCATACACACAAAGGTTTAGTTATACATGAGACTAAAACAATTGAGACCATTGTATTTGGCTCTTTTATATATATACTCAATTAATAATAATTTGTGCTTGCCCCGTATGTAGTACGGATATATGCCATTAAATTAGTTTGCATTCATCCCATGAAATTTACGTTGTCATTTATGAAGTTAAAAGAAATATAACATTGAATAAATTTTACCAGAATTAAGTTATTTGAAATTTATCTACTGTTAGTAATAAAACTCATTAAAGAACAAAAGGGGTGTTTTCATGTAGCACGACTATAAGCAACGGTTGATCTTTTGAGGCTGATGACGGAAAGAACATAGCAGTTTCTGAGGGATTCAAGCGACATTAGGATGAGAAGGATGAGACTGAATGAGTTATTCCCAAACATGGTTAGTATAGTTTGTGTTTCTTCTATATTACTATACTCCACGTGTTTATATTCAAGTACAAGACCCGTGATTTTTTTTACTATATTGTAAGTCAAGTTGCTGATCTTTGTATAATCAGGGTGATCGGGCAAGGCGGGCTTATCTACATCAATTGCGTCGGGATGAAAGGAGGTTCTGGTACGCGACCTTAATTTCCTGGCAGTTGATATTGCTAACCAAGAAAATGCATACCAAGAATTGATTCGTATGCATGCTACCCAAGACGTTGCTGGTCCCGCGCAAGAAGCTCTTGCACCCTTGCCTCCCCAGAACCCGCCTCCCCAGAGCCCATGATTGTCTTTTGATATTCTGAATAAATTTGTTAAACATTTGTTGGCCTCTAAAATAATATTTGTAGTTTTGATGTTATTTTTTTTGTGAACATTTTTCGTTGGTCTGTAATCAATATTTACTTTTAATAATCTTATATTGTTATTATCTGCTGTTTTTTTTTTCCTCCAACTAACAAAAAGTGCAGAGCAACATGACCATCACAAGTTTACAGGATGAGCATTATTTAATACAAGATGAACATTACGATTCTTGAGATGAATATTGAACATCAGAAGGTTCCTTTTTGCTGTGGGTAACAGAAAATGCAGGCCAACAAGCACATCAAAGTTTTACAGAATGAGCACCAGTTAGAAAGATGAGATATTACATTGCAGGATGAGCATTCCCTTCATGGAACCGAACATTGCAGTTAGAAACATGAGATATTACATTGCAAATAGATTTTTTCCCAATGAAAGACGTTTAAATTTAGGATGAAAATTACAGTTGTATAGGATGTGTATTGTACGTTGTTCAGTACACAACATAAAATATTTATAGAATTCTTTATTTTGATACAAAATTGTGCAAAAATTTTGTTGTGTTTTTTTAATTGTTATCAAGATAATTCGTCGTGCAAATTAACTAACTTACGAAATTAAACGAAAATAGAAAAAATATTTACGAGACCCTAGCCTAATCAGTTTAAAAAAATTCCAACCAAAATAAATTAAAAAAATTATAAATATTTAACCAGATGAACATTGTGTATTACAAGATGAACATTGTAGTTTAACCAGATGATCTTACAGGACTTTTGACAAATAAGGACCATAATGCTAAGATCTTGCAAAATCTATGGCAATTTTAACAGTTGCATCTCCTTCGGGTGTGAAACCATCAAAATCTTGAATATTCTCAGCACTAAACTCTTTTCCATCAACATTATTGGCATCAGGAATATTAGCTTGGTGTTCTGTAACATTTTCAGAAATGTGTAAGTTGGATGTTGACCCATCACTCAGTTCTGGGACTTTACGCTTGGCCTCCTTTATAACCTGGTCCATCGTCCTAATGCACTCCAACATTTCCGGAGAATTCCACCATATAGGGTCAGTGGGAACTGATTTTACTTGTGGTTCTTCTTGGACTTCTTCTTTTTTCTGTGCATGGCCTACCATTCTCTTCAAGATATCGGCATAGACGTTAAAGAATTTCTAGAACATGTTGTGTCCATCTATGCCATTTTGACTGACTTCTTGAAACAACTAACCCAGGTCAAAGGATAAGGGGCCCCATCCTGTTAAGCATCATATCTCGGAACCTAGTTCTAAGATCCAATTCCTGTAGAGCAACATGAGATTGTGTGACCCGTGATGAACAATAAAGGTCCAAAAATGAACAAGATAAACTGAACATTCATGAGATTGTATGTACCTTATGTTTAGTTGATGGATCTCATTGATTCTCAGGTTGTGCAGGCTGATCACCAACCTTCCTCATCTCCTCTCCTATTGTTGATTTAGGTTTGTCATTCTTGGTCTGAGTGGGCTCATCCTCATCCAATCTTTTCGGTACTGCAATCCTATCCAGAGGTTCGCCACTTCCAAAGCCTGCACCCTTACGTTCCAAAGCCAGCCTTTTTGTTACTCGGTCGTTGTCCCACTAAGCAATCACAGGAAACTGCCAGGGGATTCCATCCCCATCTTTGTACTCAACTCTATCCAAATAGCACAACTGCAATATTTTATGGTAGCAACATAATATTCAGTTATTTCACATACACACTTAATAAAGAAGTGAAAAAGTTTAGCGGATGGAAGTGAAATATACTATGAGAAAGATCAGTGGCCCATTGAAAGCACCCCTAAGGATTTTTCTGCCACTCTTTGACCGCATTGTAGAGTCCCTTCGCTACATACTTGCACCAATTGTAATTTTTTATGTCATCGACGTTCATCAATGATCTCATTACTTGGTAGCGGCAACACGCATTCTTTGTTCTCAGGAGCATGCTAGCCATGACAAACAGCACAAAGTACCTACAAATAGCACACAGGATGAGCAATGAAGCATACAGGATAAGCATCGAGACATACAGGATGGCTAACCACAAAAACAATACAGGAACCTTTTGAAAACATTGAGGCATAATTTTGAATTCTTCTCCATACACTCCGTTTCTTTGATCTTCAGGGAGTCTTTTCAGTTCCAGGCAATCAGGATCACCCGTTACAAGGTAGGCTGCAATTTTGGTTGCTGTGGGCGATCTCGCATTTGGGACTTTCAATCTAAATGTCTCCCTCATCTACCAAACAGATTCCTGTACTCCTCTTGATCTTCGGACTTGTCCAAGGAATCATAGGCTTCAACTACTATCTTTGGACCACGTGGTAGTCCAAGCACAGCTTCCACATCTTCTTCCGTGATCTTCAGTAATTGTCTTCCACCTTGAATTAGCAACGTCTTGTTGTTGAACATGAAATTGCATAAAAGGTAAAGGGACAAAACTGGGTGTGAAAGTTGACTGATTCCTAGGCTCAAAAGGTGCCCAAAACCTGTTTCCTGAGCCAACTTTATTTGACCATCATCAAGCACACTGAAAATTTTAAAAGCTCCAGTCGGCGACACCCTGGATTGAAATTTTAAAATCTCTTTTATGTGTTGTTTATTTTGTGCAACATTCTCCTTCTTTGCTTCTGTTTTTGGCACAGAACCAACATCACCATTTTTTCTCTTCGTCTTTCATCGGGCAGAGGGTGCCTTCTTTTCTAAAGCTGCTTTCTTGTTTACTTCTTTCTCTGCCTGCAGATTGTCACCATCATGTTTAAACTTCGTCCTGTGTTTTGTGGTGACTGGTGTAGACGATTGAGAATCTTCCTATGTATATGATTTTGACGGTGGACTGTTTTTCCCTTCATATTTTGTGGCTGCAGTCTTCTTCTTTGCTTTTTTATCATCACCGCCATCATTCCTCTTCCCATTTCTCACTTCGGCGGCATATGTAGATGCTTCGACCTTCTCTTCTCTACTATTTCTTTCTTCATCATTGTCGTCTTGATGAGATGGTGAACTGTTGTGCCATTCAATGGGTTGTGTTGGAGGCAGACTCTTGTCCATATTGTTTCTGTTCACACTCTTATATCGCTCGCTGTTGCATGACAACATTCACAGTAAGATAAGATGAAAAACAACATTCTCAGGATGAGCATCTGAGCTTCATAGGATGAGCAATAACTCATAGCAAATGAACAAACTCTCATAGGATGAAAATCACCAGTTTCACTATGAACATTTAATGATAGGCACTGAACATATATCCAGAAATCAACATCAAAGCATGCAGGATGAGCATCAAAGTATGCAGGATGAGGAATTCCACAAACAATACAACAACATTTAAATGAACAAATAAACAATCACAGTAATACTTAGGAATTATCTCATGCTACCAGATTTATGAAATGAACAACTGAATCTTAGAAGAATTTAATCAGGATGAACGAATACCTGGCATCTAAGCTTGAGCCTGATGATGACGCTGGGTTAGGCTCTGGCGTAGACATTTTTTCTACTCTTGTTCTCGCCATTTTGCTGTAAGAATCGGTGGATGAACATCAAAAAACTCATAATAAAATCTCCAATGACAAAATTCGCAATTCAAAACCCTAGTTATTGAAAAAATTAGATCTAAAACAACTAATGTTCATTTTGAAAATGAGAAAACTTACTCTGATATTCGCGTGCTTGATTTTCTGTGAAGTGCGCTTTTAAATAATCGGAGAGACGTTTCTAGAAGATGTAGCGGATGGAAACTCGAGGATTTGGGAGGAAACTCGCCGGAGGAAGTTACGCCGAAGATCTGGCGTGAGAAATCAACGGAGGGTAAATGGGAGAAATGGATGGAGTTCGTATTTTTGTGAATTTTTTTGATAAATTCTAACTGTTTTCCCAACTGAAGCGGCGACATTTCTGTAATTTGCGAGAAGATGTGTGCATGTTGGATGTTGTGGGAGCGTGTACTCTAATTTTGGCATCCCAATATATAATACCCATTCCCAATCGATGCGCCACACCCAAAGCCCTAATATCGAACGGGTCAGCCTTCCAATCCAATTACCCGTTCCAAAAACCATCCCCCAAACACCATTCGTAATCCACCACCCCAAACATAACGAAACAAATCAAAGACCCAGGAAAGTTTGGCACTTGTGCAGCAGGAGTCAATCGCTGACGCAGGAGTCTTCGCTCCATCATTTTCAACGCAGATCTATCCGGCAGCCTATGGCTAATCATAGTCAAACCGTATCCTTTGGGAAAATGGTGATAGGGAACGTAACGTGTGGCAGATGCGGGAGGAAAGCCATCCTCATTCTGTCGGCATCAAATGATAATCAAGGGCGTCTCTATTATAGATGTCAACTCCAGGATTTTTGAAATGGTTTGTTGCCCAATTCCAGACCGAATCTGGGTCGACTTCACAAGGGATGCGCAAAAGAAATGTTGTAACTGGTGATTCGGAAGATGGGATTGAGCAGATTAGTAAAGGAAAAGAGTATGTGATTGAGCAGATGAATGCAGAAGTTGTTTCGGGGAAGTATGAAATGGTTGGGAATAAATCAACGCTGGAAGGCTTCAAGTGCAATTCAAAATTGGATTCCATACTGTTGGCTTAATTTGCATTGTTTATCACGAATGTCATGATTTTGCTCCTTGTGCTGGTAGTTCTGTGTAAGCAATCTTTATGCTAAGTTCCAAGTGCATTTCGCTGTTTTTGTGGTTCATTATTCCTAAATAATATATGTAGTATAAGCAGTGTTATCGTGTATGGAATATCCCTTATTATGTACAAACGGTGTATTTCTCACGTTTGCGAAAATTCGGTTAAGAAATATCAATTATCCTTTATTTGGTCATAAACTACCACTTGTCACTATATCCTTTATCGTATATCCTTTATTCCGTTCAAAATTTCGGAAATTGCGTGTTGATTAGATAAGAAACAAATGCTAAATCATACTTCATTAATATTTTTAAATTTTACCAGTATAGACCTCACGTCAAGGTTTTTAAAATCGAGATTCTAAGTAGAATCGTTTTGAGGTTAGAATCGCGAGTCGGAGAATTGTTTTTAGAATCATAAAAGATTCTAAGAAAAGTTTGTCAAATTTGTTATGGTAGTAATTATTATCATAAAAGTTACCTGCGTAAAAGTTACTTTTGTTGCCAGTTATACATCTTCAAATACAACTACCATATGTTAATAATAAATGTATTTATAAGTAATGTATGTAATTATAGATACATGCCAAGTTTTATAGTATTATATTGTTAATTAATATACCACAAAATAATGGAACCGACATCAACACGGTCTTTATCTATAATGCTAATCGAGCCAGGCTCAGTTCTGAAAGTGCTCCAATACTACAGTGACCAATTTCGACAGTTGACAATTTTTTATAGATCTGATTTTTATGAATGGAAGTTCAGTGATGCATATTACTCTAAAAATAAGTTACGTGACCGATAAAATAAGTAGAAGATAGTTCGTGACTCACCATAACAAGAATCCACAGATCCGGTATAGCTGGTAACCAAACACATTAATCGAGCAGAACATAACACGTAATAAAGACCCCCTAGTCTCCACAAAGCCAATACAAATGTTTCCCATTACGAAAAATTCCATTCTTTCAACTCCCGTGATCCCTCCACATAGCATCTACCACAGCATCCCGAAACTCATTCCATCGATTGATCCCTTGTCGAGACTGATCAAGTCTTTGATATTCCATGACATAGGGGCCATTAGCATCATGTTGCGTCTGGAAAACAATATCATCAGCCTCGTCACCATACGCAGGGAAGTGATCCCTAAGGAAGTTGTGAATAGTACAACATGTTATGATATAATCCGTTTTTGTGTTAAGGGACCACCGAAAACATTGGACCCCATAGCATGTGGAATCGGTTTTTGACTACCCCGAAAGTTCTCTCTATAACATTCCTGATGGATGCATGATTATGATTAAACAAGTCTTTGACAGAATCCGCCTCTTGGTCTCCCTAGGGACGCTCCGCAATGTGGTAACCATGGTTTTTGAATGGTGCTAAAAAACCTGGTATGTTTCTGTACCCTGAATCAACAACGTAATACTTTCCTAGGGGAGGAATGGAAACCCTAACCTCGTATTTGTGACTGCGGCATCAAAAACTGCAGCATCATGAGCGCTACCTTCTACACCGGTGTATACAAAAGTGAAGCGTCTATCATGGTCAGCAACCATCATGCCATTAGTAGTCAATTTCCCATGCCTATTACGATATCGGGGTTGCAGACGTTTTGGTACCCAAACATCAATATGCATCCCATCAATTGCGCCCACACAATCCTTGTAAAAGTCCACATGATAAATTGTATATAAAAATGGCAAAAGATATAGGTAAAGCAAAACGGTATCAAAATAAATTTGGACCAGAATCAAATAATGGAGACTGCAAAAAAAAATGTCCAGCAAATAAAAAAAAGTCATCCAGTGTTTACCTTAAAGTAAGGAAAAAGAGTTGCATTTCGTCCAATCTTTGGTTGAGTAGCATTTTGGAAGCGAGGACAAATAAAAACCCTGGCAAACCTAGCAATTGCGTCTGCCATGTCCTGTAAGTTGCGCGACATCGTCTCAAGAGAGTGCTCAAACCTATCTACAATATCACGTGTTGTTCGCTTTGTTGCAACGGTGTACATAAACATGAACAAAGCTTCATCAATGTGAACTTTGGTGTTGGAATTTTCAACCCACAAGCCATAGTCCACCAGGCCAGACCACAACGCATAATACATTGCATGATTTAGTTGAATAGCTGAACGGAGTTTCCTTGGATCCGAATGATGAAGTACTCGTTGAACGTATTGTGCACCCGACATTGGAGGCGCCAAATATTGTGCATTCAAAAGTCGTTGTTCATACTGATACATGATGTGTAGCATCAACAAGTCCATAAAATCATCTTCGTCAGAGTTATTGTCATTTGATGAAATGTCCTCCATTTCTTCGTCACTGTCAGTGGGGTATGAAGATGGACCAGCCCCATTCATGTTTGTATCTACATAAATTCGGCAGAATAAAATAACAAGATAGTGGTCTCATTAAATAAAGTCAAGTAAGATTACCCACAACCAAATTACTACTTTACAAAATCAATAGGAAAATTTAAAAAGCAACATTAGTTGCATTAAAGAAACCGGCATGTGTTGTTTGTAAAGTTGGTGTACTGCCTCTATCATGCAAGAGGCCAAAACTGGCCCCAACCCCAACCACCCAAAAACAAATATTGTCCCTAATGGCTGATGTTTTTTTCCCCATAAAATATTGTGTGCATTAGAATTCGTCATATGCACATTGATTCACCACTAAGGGATTGCAAATGGGTTAAGTACAAATTTGCCCGAATTAACATAAACAACCGTCTACATTCTTAGATGCACATATACTTAAAAAGTAGGAATTTGTTAATAAAAAGGAATGGTAGAAGAAATTACCAGTTGAAGCATGGTAGGAGATGTGCCACAAAGTCTTGTTTCTCTTTCCTTTTGTGTCATCACAAATGCCAAAACCAACAAAATGTAGGGGCAGTATATCCTTGTTCAGGTTGCAGATTTAGATAAGGTCACAACAGTAAGAATATGTGGTCCAAATGACGTTGACTACCTCCCTTATCTTTTTAAATTGTAATATGTGTACTTGTAAAAAGAAGCCCTTTACACTAATGGATGTTTGGCAGCTAGGAGTTTGGGGTGGTTTCATTTATACTATTCACGTTTCAGGATAAATCACATTATAGGGGCCAACTTGGATGAATTGTGAAGACATTTCCCATGAGTATAAATGACATTTGTGCTACACATGTAATAGTAGGCAGACAAATGAAACTAACATCCAGCAGAACCCAAATTGTGGCCACAATCGAAGTTGGTAATTAGACAGATAATTGTTCAACTACACATTAGTTGGAAGGGAAAATTGTTCGTACAACAATGGTCATGTTCTCAAATATGAAGAAAATTCGTACACGAATATGATGAATGTGCGTAGGAAACAATGGAATGGGTAAAAAATAATAAAACCAATACACGCCCAACAAACTCAGGGTAGACGCTTAATCCACTCATACTTCTTCTCAGTCCTCAATGTCAAGAAAATCAATGCCTTGTGCTTTTCCTTGTTAAATTCAACAACTACCTTCCAAAAATCGTCTGGTGTAAGCTCCATCGCGTAAAGCACCTCGATAGTCGTTTTGGCAGGCTCCACCTTGGTGCTAATCCTATTATGCTTCTGTTTTTGGACGTCATGATACATCTGCAAAGCACTTTGGAAACTTGGTTCATCTCCCTTACTCTTCTTAGTACCACGCGAATCGACTCCGAACGGGGCAGTTTCAACAGGTCTCTTCCCACGAGCCCTTGGTAATTCGGGACTGTCATCAGTAGTGGTGTCTGTGACCTCGTCACCTGGTCTATACGAGGGTGTGGCCCCATTCTCCATGGTTCCAGTTTGGTCATGGAAGAGTTCAGTCAACGCATCGATGTGTGGGAATGGCTTGTCCCTGAATTTAATTGCGCCAACTATTTTCTGTACCACTTGGATATGTTTAATGTCTATACAAGTGCAACATATAAACTGGTAATGTTTCCATGATACAACACAAAAGGATACATTATTGGGAAACAAGACGATTAAAATGGGGAGAGGGAAAACTCTAGATACCTTATTGAATTAAAAAAATCTGAACTCAACACTATAAAACCCGCAACAGTTGCAACATATTTCGTGGTAAATCTGAGGACCTATATGCCGATTAATTATAATTCAACAATTGAAAAAAGTTTTGTTATGGTTAAATGAAAAAGGTTTCACAAAACAGAGAGAAGAAGTGCACAAGTCAGGTTGTTATTCACTTCAAAGGAGACGAACTGTAAAACTATACAAAAAAAAGGCACCATAGAACATTGGGCATACTTTGGTACACATGAAAAGGGGAAGGATAAACAGAAAACGCTCTAACAGACAACATGAAGGATTACGTACAGGAGAAGCCAAAAAAAAACATGCATATGCCATATAAAACGAACAGTGAATACCACTAGACCATATAAGGGATGCAAATGAACATAAACCAAACATTAACAAAATACAAAACATTTCACTTACAGTATTCAATGCAGCCCAATGAGGGTACTCAAAAACGCCCAATTCTTCATTCCAACCAACACCGGTTGTATACTTAATTTTTAGCCAGGTTTTCCAATCATGCTTGAGTCTATCCACCTTTGATTTGATGCGGTGAACATCGATAGGAACACCCAAAGCAGCATTAAGCTCAGTTTTAATTTGGTTCCACCTAGCAGGCTTAAAGTGGGAAGTGGACATATGGCATTCTCTTTTTCTGGCAACAAGTATTTGGATTAATGCGGTCCCCGATCAGGTATCCAAACCACCTTGTCCTTGTACTTGCCCTTCTTAGTTTTGTCATCATGGTCATCCATTCCTGGCTTCCTTGGGGACTACAAAGATATAGGCAAAAAGATAAGCGGAATCAAATTTTTAGCAAGCAACGACTATTAATACAAATATGATAACAGTGACAAACTAGTACCTCTTCGCTGTTGCGAATACAAAGATCAAGGTTGTTCTTGTCTAACTCAGAATGGAAAGATTTTGAGAGTGTTGGTATACCTAACAAAAAAGATAGAAACAGGGAGATTTAAAATGTTACTGATGTAAGTCATTGTAGGGCACGATTCACCCGTTCCAGATTCATTTGCGAATACAAACATGGTAAAAACATATCTCTGCCTCCTGGAAGCTACGACTTAGAGTTGATTGGAAGCTCTAAAAGAACATTGCCATACACAATTATTTAAAAGTACCACTAATATACGTAAACAAAAATCCATTTTTTATTTCTATAATGTTATGTACCAAATAACCCTATCCGTAAATTTAAAAACAAGGACGAGTGTAGTAAAAACAATTACCCATGCCGGGTGTGTGGACAGATTTTGTCGGTGTTTCGATATCTGAAACAAAGTATAAGTAAAACATTTTCAGATCCTTGTTGACAAGAAGAGTACAAGTATCAAATGTAAACATGCATAAGAAAATGCACCAAGTCAGATGGTGTTTCCTATATGTTAGGGAGCACCAATGAGACGAATACTGCAGATCCATAAATCCAACTATTACTAAAAATAACGTAACTAGCCTTTTTTTCATCATTCATAATTACATTTCAGTTGCGGAAAAAGCTGTTGTATGCAGACATTAAGGAAACACACCTCTGCTTATGGACTAAAGAAACTCTAGAACCTCTGTAATATTTCCAAACGCAAATTTCAGAACAACAAAATGGAGTTTGTTTCCCTTTAACGTTAGGCAACTTTAAATACTTGTTAGTGTACTAACGAAACGCATACCGCTGTTTTGGAGGTGAATTGACTTGAGCGGTGTAAAAAGAGTCTCTGAAACATCATTTCAGGAGAATTTTAGAGCGAACCATAAATTAAGATTCTAGCTGAATGTTTAAAATACATGCACCAATTATAACAGACTGTATGCGGTAACTCTTGTTATCATGTGGTTGACTTCACAATTACTGAATCGAAGATGAACATCTTGCAAATAACATACGAAACGTACCTGTCCCTACGAATTTCTCAGAAGTTGAGTGTGTGGGAATCTCTACAATAGCATAAGAAGCACTGCTGTCAGAAAATCAATAGTAGATAACATGTTTTCTATAATGTGAAGGGACAGCTAGTTTTCTATAAATAAGCCTTCGTGATAAAATCAAACTTACTGCTGCTTTGGGAGTGAACAGAGTTTGTCATCGATGAAGTATCTGCAACGTAAGTTGGAAAAAAAAAACATCATATGGTATAAGAAAGTAAATCCGGACCAAAACTTTTATTGCATGACTAAAATGAAAGGAAACGTGCCTTTGGTTTTTGATTTGTTGTTTGACTCAGACATACCCACAATCCTGCAATACCACCAAATAAAACACTCCGGGAATTAATAAAGACAAAGAATATGGAAAAGCGAGAATCATACGGCAGCATTGAATCAAATTTTCAGACATCGACCATACAAAACAGTTCAGATCTGCTTGAAACATACAAAAAACACACTAACCTCACATAACACTGTGTGAATACAACATGCCGAAACCCAAAGCAGAAGGCAACTGGATATCAAGGCAGGTCCGACCCGATTTAGCGATCTTGTGGGAAATGACCCCAAGCAGGAGTCTAGATAACGAAGATGAAAAAAAAAACAAGGGTCAAGGATAGATTAAGGCAAACAAACAACGGAAGATTCTATACAAATTCGAAAAGGGGGGTATGTACACAAGCAATGTAACCAACCCTTAATCCATTGATACACCCCCGATGAATAGAGTAATGAAACAACGCCCTTTGAGTTTACACTCAAGATATAAGTGAATAACATCAAGATGCCCAATGTTACTTACCTAAAATGGCCAAAAATTGTTCGCCAATACAACCTCCAGATCCTTTGTTTGTGAATCGCACTTTCTACAAGTCAGTGTCGGTGGAAAGAGACATCTAATAAGTCTTGAGTGCGGAACTTAACCGATTCCAACACCAGATCTGAGTAGAAGGGTGGTAGGTGTTGGATCTTCTATTTTGGATACCACGATAAACAATACAATATGCACAGATCTGAATTGAAAGTGTAAGGGAATGGAAACGGATAGGGTTATCCGAAGTTGTCTCGTTTTTTTTTTTAAACTGTTGGGTATATAGAACTTGGGCTAAAATGTGTTATGAAAAGTGGTTCAGGATGGAAAACAAGAGCTATTTCAGATGCCGTTTTAAGTTGAAAATTGTCCAAACAAACTTGGGCCTCGGTATTTGAAACTGAGTGGCAAAATGAAAGATTTTTTGAAAAAAACTGTTGTCCAAACAAACCCTTAAATATTTTAGTTCTTAAATTCTACTATTATTAATTTTCGGTAAAGGGTTTCACACATTCATTTTGAAAATATATTTTAAGTTTCTGTTTTCATTTGCATACTACATAGTAGTATATTTTTTAGTAGTTACAATTCTTCGAAATGATTTTGTAAGAACTCTCAACTCTCAAGTCAACTCGTGGTTAAACATTGTCATATATTTTAATTATATTAAGGAATTCAGGAGTATGAAATTACACCATATGCATGTAAATATCCAATCTATAGTATATTTCGCTTCATTGGTGTTCAAAGGTACATGGTTGTTTAATGCTTCAACACTATCATTTGTCGAAACTAAGGAGGTTTTGTTAAGACATCTTACTTTCAATTGTCAAATACACTTAAAATTAATGCTTCAGCACTATCATTAGTCGAAACTAAGGGGGTTTTGTTAAGACATCTTACTTTTAGTTGTCAAATACACTTAAAATTTATACTTAATCAGTTAAGTTCTTAATCAATTAAGTTGTTATTAGATCTCGTTATCAAACATTGTCAATTAATCAGGTATCTAATCAATTAAGTACATTAGTGTAAAGTGTTGAATGAGTTTATCAAATTGGATTTGAGCTTTCTACCTCAATTGGACATCTAAAGGGACACGTGTCATACACTTAGATAGCCGTAAAAACATCTACATGACAATATTATTATGTGGTAATTTATTGGTTATGTTAACCCTTTGATGTTAATTTCATGATTATTTAATTGAAACTGTAGATTCCAATTTAAAAGTAAATCAAAATCTTATCTTTATATTTTATAATAATCTTATCATCGCGTATTTAGAAAACACATTATCATTTATCTTCGTTTGGTCCATGTGTTGGTGATCGAATTAGTAGACTAGTTTATTTTGGTCCATGTGTTGGTGATTTAAATTAGTGTTGATTTTAGGTTTTCGATAATTCGACGGACTGAAAGTTCGTAAACCTAGATCGAATTCTGATTGATAGGCTTCCGCCTACATCAGATATGAGATTAACATATGTTTTAGGAAACCATGACAATTGTATGACAACATCACATTTTCGTACTATGACATGTTTTTATTTGTTTTTTCTTAAAGCATCATTTTCTTCAAAATATTGTATTCTTTGTTTCAAAATAACTTGTTAAAGATTAAGGTTGTGGTTTATAGTTGAAAATCTTATATTGCATAGTTAATTACTTCTTCTCAAATCTAGAACTTATACCTTTACTCTCAAATCGTGTTTTATTTATTAAATGGTCAATTTTATAATTTTTTATTTTTTAATCACCAAACTTTCAACTTTATCGACTTCATAAGTAGAAAATTCTTGAGTAAAAGTTTGATTTCATGCATAATTTTGGTTATAAAAATGAATTATTCTTATTTTTAATTGTGCTTGGGGCTAAACTCTATTTGAAAAAAGAAAAAGAAAATTTTAAGAATTGCAAGTGTGGTAGAAATGGTAGGATAGTTTTCTATAGATGAATTCTGTGAGTGAACCTGTTGAGTTTCTCCATGCACCTGACTATTCCACTTCAGTGGATAATGAATGTACATTAGGAAAAGCAGAAAATGTGTCTTCTCAGTTATTACTAGGAATTAAGGAGAAGTATTTAAAAGGCACATAAATACCTGGAATTCAAATTAGTTTGGAAATGTGTCTTTTCATTTAATAACTTCCGAGAGCATTGAAGGGGCGGTTATTAATTGCCATAAGCAGAACCAGTTGAAGGGGCAGTTATCATCGTTTGATTCTTCCACATCAACGATGCATTCATCGTCTAGTTCTTCACTTGAGTAAGGGACTATGGCAGCAGAATAAGGAACAGCAGACATTCCTTTCGAACAACTCATATTCGAGACAAAAACAAACACAAAAAAAAACGCAATGAATCTTGTGAAATAATTTAAATGCTATTGCTGGTGAGATTGAAATTCATACGACACAGACGGTTTGATTCTGATTACATCAAAGATATCCAGCAAATTCAGAGTTACCTTAGAATCACCGACACGAATTGAAGACGAAGGAAAGATCGCTCTTAAAAATTAGTAGAAATCTGCCTCTGTAAATCAGGAATTGAGACGGAGGATTGCCGGCGATCTGTTCAATTACAAGATTAGGTTGTAAAAAAGGAGAAGAAAAAAGGGGCCCGAAAAAGACCAGGTCCGCGTAAGGAGCCCCATATAATTGTTAGTAAAGGTCCGTAAATATTAATTGGGTCAAGTCATTGGGTCAAGGTCGTTGGTATATATTTTATAACTTTCAGAAATGATCACTCAACTATGGTATCGTTTCGCAAATGGTCATTGGATTAATGAAATTGTATACAAATTAGGGTCAAATCATAAAAGAACTGGATTAAAAGCGTCAACAAACTGGAGGGTTCAGAACCGGAAACGGACCTTAACCGGAGGTTTACGAACCGTAACCGCAAGCGTAGAGTTAAGGGCTGGTTAAGGTTTATTCGTTTAATGAACTGTGCATCGGAGGTTCATGAACTGGAACCCGCGGTTCTGAACCGTGGTCATACCTTGGAATGGGTAGTATATATAGGAAAACGAATAGTGCTAATAAAAAAAACGAATCTAATGGCGGAATAGGTCAACTATTGGTCTTATATTTGACAACTTTCAGAAATTATCACTCAACTATGGTATCGTTTCGCAAATGGTCATTGGATTAATTAATTTCAGCATTCACACTACTATGGACATATTATTGTATGTGGGGATGGGGGTAGTTTTGTAAAACTCAAGTTGGAAGTTCCAATATAGTATATCAAGTTGGACGATTGGTTATTCGCTTCCAAAAATTCTTCTGGTACATTTCTTCGTGGTTGGACTATCGATTTCAATTTTGGTCCCAATTGCGACCGGTCTTCTATATAGGAGGAAAATCGTCGCTGAATCTAATGGCGGGGCGATCATCCCGAGGGGATAGGACAACACAAAGGGGGGGGCGAAGACGAACAGCACCAAGGAATCCACCACCGCAAATTCCGGTGGAAATCGTGGATGTAGATCTAGATGATTGGATTATTCGCCCAGAAGGGGCGACTTTTGATCCCGACTTGATTTACGGTAAGCCCCCCTGAACCTTCATAGTGATTTGTGGGTCAACGGGTTAACCCTATATTTGTTTTATGTTGTTTTTGGAGCCCTACTATTACATGTGTGGAACAATAACCAGAACAAAACCCAATGGATGATTTGTATGGATCAGTGAAACGGTTCAAACCAATAATTTATTTGGATTGTGGGCAAAAAAATAGGAATAGGGTGTATTTATGGATTGTGGGATATAATAAGGATGTTATGTACTTTTACACAAAGGTAATGTATTCTCATGCAATATCTGTGTGCCTAATTGTAAGATTATTATAATGGCCTTTATATTGCATATCTGAAAAGTTTGACAATATCATTATCAGTTACACTTTAGTGAGACAGACCTAATGTGTATCCTGTATGGGTACAGATGGTTGTTTAGGAAGACAAAGGAAAAAATTGCGGATTTTGGCCACGAAAAATTTGAGAACGACAGTCCAAAATCCCATGTTATTGTTGTCGGTGCAGAACCAAGATAGGGACTTTTTTGTATGTTGGGTAGAATATAGATATTATGTTGTACTTTTACCCTGTATTGAAATATTTTATTGCAATTAGTGGGTGGTAATGCCTCCAATATATGAATGACCTTTAAATTTATTAATTGCCAAGTTTGACAATATCCTAATCAGTTACACTTTATTGATACAGCAAGGGCCAGCAAATATTTCAATATCCGAATTCATCATGGTGGGAAACTAAAGGATACTACTCCTTGGGAATACATTAGCGGAAATGTTTCATACCTGGACTCTTGCCATGAACTGAGTGCTGCAATAGTTGGATTGGGCTAATCTCGGGACAACTTTGTGTTTACTTACTACAGGCACCCTGCCGAAGACTACAGTGTTAGATTACATCCACTGGTGGAACATTCATATTTAAGAGACTTTCTGAGATTGGTTCCAGAGTATAGGATTTTGGATGTTTATTGCGAGCATTACATGAAAGAGAAAGCCGAGGAAAGGTTTATCGAAGATTAGGGGAAGGTTTATGACGAGTTCACCGAGAAAGAATACAATGCGGTGAGAAGAGAAGGTAATGTGTATGTCATTAAAAATTCTACAACTACGATAGAGGAGATTGGTGAGGAAAACCATCCCCCACCAATATATGTGAAACCAAAGAAGAAATCAGTTAGAAAAGGCCCAATACTACTTGAATGGAAAAAAGAAGTTGATCAAGAATTCCTTGACCTGCTTGAACTGCCATTCAAGAATGCATGTGGAACCATGGAAGGCACACCGGAAGGCGAGGTTGCAGCTGCAGGGAACAGTCCCAATGCTGAAGGAAGTGACCTTTCAATCCCAGTGCCTAACCATCCACATTCTACGCTAGCAGGTGAAGTTGCAGACTGTGCAGAGCAGCTTCATGGGAAATTACAACCGGATATTGCAGTTGAAAGTGAGAAAATTCTTGGTGTGAACAAGACCACTGCTGGGGGGGGGGGTGGCGTATCACATCCAAAATTCAGGAGTCCCGCCTGGCAAATGACGAAGTTGAACCTACGCTCCATGAAAACATCATTCCTGAGGACCCAGGAAACGGAGTTGATGAAGGATGTCAGTTTTCAGGGAGCATATCATTAATTAGAGACCATTTACAAAATGAAGAATTTATAAGGCAGGATGGTGGGGGGATTGGAACAGGTTATGATGGTGTAGCTGGGGCAATAGAGGACCAAGAATTACACAAACATGTTGGTCGTGAAGGGACACTTCATGAGGATGCACCTGAGAACGATGCTGAAACATTGACTAGGGTGTACACGCTGTGTAGGGATCAAGTATTGTTTGATGAGTTTGTATCTAACATGATGATGCAAGATACAGGTGAAACAAACTTCAATGTTGATCATTTTGACGGGGGTACATCTTGGGCGAGTCAACCGGGCTTAGGGGACAATGACGCACGAACCAATGCTCCTATAGATGATATCTCTGGATCCAGTGAAGGTCTTGAAACTGGAAAAACAGTGAAGGGCCAATCATCGAAATCCGGTAATGGGAGAAATTACACCCGACCAAAGCGCGTGGTTAAAGAGCTTGCTCCTGATGATGGGTCTGACATCAGTCAAGAGAATGGAAATGTAGAACCCCAAAAGAAGCCAAATTCAGAGGATGAAAGTGATGCCCAGGCAGGTCGGTTCACAGATTTCCGAAGTTTGGATGGTGTGCCACAGTTTCGGATTGCAGACAAGTTTGGAAGTAAGGACGAATTTAAGAATGCAATAAAACATTACATTATGTTGACAGGTAGACCAGTGTACATGTACACAAATGATTATACCATGCTCAGGGCTAAGTGCATAGCACCATGCAAATGGTTCTTGTATGTGAAGAAGACAACGATTGATGGCATCGAATGTTTCTGTGTGCATTCAATCAAAGATATTCACACGGATTGCACCAAGGAGAACACAAACAAGAAGGTGACTGCAAGATGGTTGGCAACTACATACAAGGAGAAAATAAGAGCTGATCATGACGTACCGGTTGTAGCTATTTAGAAGCAGGCTGATGACGATTTTAACATCAAAGTACAATTTTCCAAGGCTTACAAGGCGAGATGCATAGCACATGAAGCTTTAAATGAAAAAGCTGAAAAAAAAAAAGCAAAAGACAACCAAAACAACGAGCACCAGATGATGAAAACCGGTTGTATGAAGATGGAATAGTGAGGATGAAGAGATGTATAACGATGGATTGTAGCAGATGTGGAGGTGGTAATCACAATGTCAGAAGATGCACAGATCAAGTGCAGGTTTGTAATTCTGGGTTCCAGAATTAATATGTGCTTTTTAGTAGTAAGTGTAGTAGCGTACCAACTTGTTTACATTTTAGTTTGGTTCCAGTCATGTTAATATGTGCATTGATGCGCATTCAATAGGAAGAACATGCTGCACAACCATCAAGGATGAATGGTGCATGTCGAAAACATAAAAGAAATGAACTTAAGGCAGCTGATGCATCATCCAATGAACCGATACAAGCAGCCGAAATGGCTAGCCGTTCCCCTGAATCAACAAAGAAGGTATGCATGTGTTTTTTTTTTGGAAAACGTGACTTGCTCATATCTGTTGGGTTGTTTAATCGACATATCTTAATTTGAGTTATGTTTATCATGACCAGAATCATAGTGCAGAAGAACAAGTGAACCTGAATGATAACCCTCCAAATGAAGGAAGCGAAAGTCATCCGACTGTGACGACACCATCTGATGTCCCGATTTCCGATGGCGATATTGGTGGTGGTTTAGTCGGAGCAGCAAATCATGTATGCAGGTGTTTATTTAAAGTATAACATGCCTGCTTACAGCTTATGAGAGTTATTAATTTTCGTTATGGTTTGCCATATTTGGTTGTAATTAAATATGTTGATTCCCAAAGGTGTACATGACGTAAAAGGTGCAAATATACATGAATTTCTATACCAACACTGTCCATTTACTTCTTTTGCAAATAGACTATAGATCAAAAGTGCAATATCTCATATAATACACGTTGGTACGTGGTAGGTTGAACCTTTGGCGAATGATGTGTAGGTATTGTTTTGTGCAACTTTAAAGGTACATTATGTAATTGTAGTTAATATAATGTGACAGGAGGTTCCTCCAGCATCCAAAGGGGATGTCGTGGCTTCAAAAGCTTCTGGACGGGAAAATGAGGTTAATAATAAAACATCATTGACAGGTGAAAGGAAGCTAAGAATCAAGCTTAAGGCTCGTTGAGTGTTCGGGTTAGCTGTACACCTTCACTGTTTTGGCAGATATCAATGTAGCATGGGCAAGAGAAGTGTTGGTCGGGAATCGACTTTTTTGTTTATTACGAAAATTGATGTACTATATATGCAACCGTTACTCATTCTGGAACATGGAACTGTTTATGTAGTATAGTAATGTTATGCCAATGCGACTGTAGTAAGATTCACATTTGTTTTTGTTATTTGTCACCACGACTGCTGGTGAGTTATGTACGATGGTCAGTTAAGAAAAAGGTAGTACATAAATCTCATGTAGTGAAATTGATTATAAATTTAGAACTGTGTGTATTTATTAGAGTAGCAATAATTTAGTACAAATGTATGAGTACCATTCGATAGCTTCCAAATCAAACAGACCTTTGCATCTATACTTTACAAGACATTACACAAGTCAATAAAGAATAGTGCTAACCAACTTGTACATAGTACAGACCCTTGGCCTACCTATATTATAAATAATACAAAAACAAATAATGCGATTAACACAGACAAATATCCGACATTGACCTCTGAGCGGTTCACGTTCTCACACTGTCAGCTACACCTAGATTCAATAACGAATAGTGACCAAAAAGACAAGGTGTAAATGTATGTATTGGATATCATTATTATAGTGACATGTTTTGCCAAATACTTTGTAGTGACCATTAGGGAAATTCAATAGTTTAGGGATGTTGATTAAAATTGGCAGTGACTTATAGGTGGGTTGCAATATGCACTACAGCAGTGACTATTTCTGCATGTTATTGTTAAGTGACCGAAAATTACAACCGATAATTTTTTAGATCGAAATGTATGTCTGCAATATCATAATGTAGTAACCAATTAGGCCAAAAGCCTAATGTTGTAGTGACCATTTTGGGGAGTTATTCATACTTTAGTGATGTTTTTTCGTACTTGACTCTTATTTAAAATTTATCCAAACAACAATTGTGTAGTAAAATGGTACTTAAGTACTATTTCAACATCATTTCAAAAGATCTTTTGAATTACTTTTCAGATTCAAAACGAAGACGAAAACAAAAATGAAATTAAAACGACGTCCAAACAAGCATTAAAAATTCGTGTAACAGACATGCACGATACTTGTATATAAGGAAAAGAAAAAACAATTTATCACAAAACTCAATAATAATAGTCAAAATCCATAAGTTGGGATTGGTCAAAAGGGCCCAATTGCCCAAATCACCGTCCGGCTCTTCCACAACACAAATTTACATAACCCATCCGCATCTGCCCATCTCTCTCCCTCCCGTCTCCTCTCTCTCTCCCCTCTAAATACAGTTTTCCATTTATTTTTTCTTTTTAATTCCTAACTAAATCGAAATTTTTTTCCTCTAAAAAATTAAAGGGAAAAAAAGAAAAAAAATTCGTAAAACCAACACAAACTCTGCCCTTAATCTCACTCAAAAATTTGAAAAAACCCAAATCTTTCATGGCCTTTCATGTTGCCTGTCCAATTACATGGTAAGTACCTCCCGCCCCTTTTAATTTTCACTCTTTTGAACTTCTCTGTCTCTCTCTCGAGCCAGGGGGATGGCCGGGTTTCTGTCTTTGGCTTGTTCTTGTTTCGTCTTCTCTGATGGGTTTTGATGTGACATTATCTGGGTGCAAATCTTTGTGGGTTTTCGATGGGGTGGGGGGGTTTCTGATTTTCTTACGGTGGGTTTTCTGTTTGTTGTAGTCGGAGAATTTGCTATTGCGAGCTAGGGTTTTCTCGGGGCCTGCAAAGTGGCAAAGGCAAAGATGAATTCTTGTCCCAAGTTTTCCGAATTGAGGAGTTTGTAAAGGATCCGTGGTTGCTCAAGGCCGAGGCCAATGCTACCGTTCAGGTTAAAGTACCGAAGGTGGCGGTGGTTGCTCCTCCGCCTCTTCCCCCGCCGCCAGTTGTGGTTCAAAGAGCGGCTGCGGCTGTGATTCCGGCCAGGGTTGCTGCTGGAGGTGGTGGGATTAGTGATGCGGATGAAGCCGCATTGGTTGCTTCTGCGCAGACTAAACGAGCGGCCTTGCAGAAGAAGGCTGCCGCTGCTTCTTTGGAGGCTGAGGACCGTGCCCGGAGGTTTGAGTCTGGAGAGATGGTGGTGAGTTTTCCTTATTATTAATATTTCTGGTTGAGGTGGAATGACTGCATTCGCATCTTCATTGTGCTCTGATTTGTATGATTTGTTTGTGGCATCTTAACTATATGTATGATTTAGGGTGTTGTAGGTTACCTGTTCTGCACTTTGTTGTTGGTGCTACATGGCGGTATAATTAATATTCTGTAGAAATGGTGTTGCGCTTGTGGATCCATATTGTTGTTTTCTGCTTTCAAGTTCCATTTTTTAATTGTATTTTGAATTTTTTGTCGATTTGGTATGGATTTTGCTTCCTACACTGTTTAAGTTGTGGCTATTTTCCTTTACGTGATTCGTTTTTCCTTATCTTAAAAGTTGTTTTTTCCTTGTGCAAATATGTTGCGTTTTGGTTATGCCTGCTTTTTAAACTTTATTATGTGCACGTGCCTCAGTTGCGGAGTCAAGAAAATGTTTTTATATTGATAATATGAATGTTTTATTACACGTGTTATTTCGTAGGCAACATGCAAGCAGTCATTTGTGACATAAATGTTGATATTGATTGTTCCCCTCAAAATTCTCCCGATCGGTTATCTTTCCTTTTATATATGGGTATATACCCATTCCAATTCGACTAGAGGGTGTAATGCAAGAAGGAAATTGTATGGCTAGACATCCTAATTCCACCAGAGAGAGGGGAAAAGATAACTATAAGACAAGAGTGGGTTCACGATATTGGCTGTTTCTAAACTTAACCTGAAAGTTGGAAATGCATCTTGCTATCTCTTGTAAACTTGTAATTGCTGTTAAAAAGTAAGGTGGTCTATGTGGCCAATTTTGGTCCTTTATTTCCCAGTTATGTCTTGATAACAGTCAGGCTGTTCCACTATTGTGAATAAGAGAATGCTTGGAACTCTTATTAGATTCACTATCAAGTAGTTTGGTATTTCATGTGCAATTCTGTACATTGATCAAGGCTTGAGTCCTGCTTTGGGACATTTTTGAACAGTCCTTACGAGTTTTGAACCTTAGAAAGTCTCTGGCTACACCCATACCAATTAGGGGTAACTTCTGGCCTGTTGATGAGGTTCTGACATTTATCCACTTACGGAATTCTCTATTTCAAAAGGATTTCAACTACAAACATGATGATGTACTGAGATATTTTGTGTAATGAAATTCTTCATATTGTGTAATGAAGTACAACTTTGATTACGTGGCAGCTCTAAGTTTTGTTGTCCATAACTAGTTTGTCTGGTTGTGCTTTCATTAGTATTAAATGCAATTCTTTCACAGCCTTTCAAAGTGTTAGAGATTAATGTCCCCCCTGCTTTTATAATAGTTGGCATTTTGTGATTTGTCAAGATTCCAGTGATTTTTGTATGTAAATATCCCCTGAAAGATACTCGCCAAACTGCCATGTAGTAGGACTTATGAACTTTCCCTTTTGGAGCTTCATCAAGTTGTTGGTGCAGAATGAAACTTTTTTGTCGTGCCAAAAAGAAGTTGATACTGCATAATTTTGTTTATGGACTGAGGGTCAAAAGATTCTTATACATCAAATTGGATTATAAAGTGCTGGTTGGTGTGAACTTATCCATGTGGTTGTGCATTACCTGCACTTTTCTCTGGTTACAAAATTTTATTAGGATTATTCAAGCTCGTAATAATAATCAATATTTGATGACACGTTTTCTGTAATTGGGGAGCATTCTAGCAGTTGGTTGATTGCTCTTTATCCTCTTATCAGTTTTTATTCTCCTATTCTTTTTTATCTGCAGGATCTTTATTTCAAATTTCATTTTCCTATGTATTCTGATCTGTTGTCAATTAGAAAATGCAGATCATTTATGATCTGTATGCTTTGCCCTTATTTTTTCAGCATGTTGCTTTTAGAGAAGTTAGTATAGAGATGGACAATAAGGCGGAGTTATAATACTAAGTTGTTAACTTGCTATCCATATCAGGGTCCTTTGAAAGATGACACTCATTCCCAAGAAGAGCAGGGTTTGTCCACTGTCAAAGTAATGTGTCGCATATGTTGGGGTGGGGAAAGTGAAGCAAGCGAAAGAGCTAGGAAAATGTTGCCCTGCAAAAGCTGCGGCAAAAAGTATCATAGGAGCTGTTTGAAAGCTTGGTCGCAGAACAGAGGTACACTTTCTGTTCCTCAAAATATTATAGGAGCTATCTTAGATCTTGGAGAATTTTGTAGTTTTACTTCTTTACAATGTTGTTGCAGATCTTTTTCATTGGAGCTCATGGACTTGCCCCTCTTGCCGAATGTGCGAGGTAGTATTAATCTACCTCTTTTTAGCTTCTTGATGTTTGGGGTTAAATTTATTGCAAATTGCATAGCATGCTCGTGTTGGCACCTTTTGCGAGGCTATAATGATGATTACTTTTTGTAATACATGATTGGCACCTTTTGCATATGGACGTTCAGTTAATTAGCCAGAATTAATTTTTGGGATCGTCTTAATGAAACCTAAATGTTAGGGAACTTCAGTTGAATCCAATGTTGTCTACTTGTTCCATCTAACTTGTCTTGGGTTTGGGGGTGCCTCTTTCGTCTTCTCATCTCCCCAAAACTAAGAGTGTGACAGTCATTGGAACACTCTACTGGATCTTTGATATGTTGCTTTATCGCATTGTTATACCTTCTCCTGTCTCTTTCTATGCGTTGAATCTCCTATGAGATCCATTGGCTTCTTTTCTTCCATTGATCATAATCAGAGTTCGAGAGGAAAAGATTTGTAGATGAAATGGCTGAAAAGTTGAAGCATCTTATGTAAATGATCCATTCTGGGATACATCCCTACTGATGGATTATTTGTCTTAGAATTGTGATCAGTAGGGTGTAAGAGGAATCCAAATCACGTAGTTTGTTGATGTGGTATTATTGTATAAGGAGATGGGCTCTATTCTGACGCCCTGTATTCTCTGTTTCCTTGCCTTGATGCTTTATGAAATGTTTCTCAATGTTTGTGAAATGTTTGCTGTAAACGCGGCCTCTTATGGAATCGAACTTGTTTGTCATTCACGTTTGTGTATCACTGGTACTGATAATATGTTTGGCTGCTCTAGGTCTGCCGTAGGACTGGGGATCCAAATAAATTTATGTTCTGCAAAAGATGTGATGGTGCAATGCATTGCTACTGTCTTCAGCCGCCACACAAGGTGCGTTTTTCCTCATATTTTATGGTTTATCTTATTTGAGATTTTGGCGTGTGTAGCTTGACATTTCAGCTTTGCAGAATGTGAGTACTGGACCTTACCTATGCCCCAAGCATACAAGGTGTCACAGTTGTGATTCTTCTGTTCCTGGTAACGGCTTAAGTGTGAGGTATGTGCTTTAAAAGACATCGAATCTTTCCAGCATTCTTCTTTAAAAGGAAGATTATGGCTCACTATTATTTTTATGATACTTCTTTTTGGGTGAATGTCCTTATGGAATCTAAATTAACATGAGCTAGATAAAGAAATAAGTTGCTGCGAAGACAATGATTTCATCTATATTTAGGCTCTGGGTGTCTAAGACTTTTATGAAATAATATTAAGAACGTTTAGCTAATTGGTGCATGCTTAAGAAATATAAGACACATGTCTTTTGAGGACATGAAATCTTTCAGTAAACACCGAAGAAGTTAAGATGGATTCTGCTTTAAAACAGACATGGCTCTATTGGTCTGGGATTTCTATTGTGAATGCATACATGATTTTCTCTCAGATGTATCTTTGCTGAGCGATGTTCTGAGATGGAAGCATGATTGCAGCTTTTAGTCTTTTCAAACTTCCAGAATTCAGAGCCTATTCTAATTCATTCCTCGTGGACATTGGGCGCATTTTTATTGTTAAAGTTGTCATTGATTGGTACTGAATTCTTGATTGATGTATATAACTTTAGCTATGTGGAATTCAAAAACTAGAACTATTGTGAAGTCTTATAAAAATTGCTCAATGAAACTTTATTCTGCTATTGTAAAGTTGATATTAACCTTCATTAAGTAATGCCTGAGCTGCCCTTAGGGTATTTCCTTTAAAAGGGGGTATCATTTGTGAGTATTTACAATGCAACTAGTGTCTGCGGTTGCTGGATGAACAAGTTTCCTTTTATTATTTCACTGTATTACTTCCATCCGTCAATTTAATTTTTGTGAGTAGTAATTGGGATGTAAATTATCGTGTGATACAATTAGGCATCTAAATTTTTCTTGCACCAGCAGATCTTAATTTTTGAAGATCCGCTGTGTGGACTTTTCACTAGTGATGATAGTTGAAGTGGTTTGTAATGGCAGGTGGTTCCTTGGTTACACGTGTTGTGATGCTTGTGGAAGATTGTTTGTCAAAGGAAATTATTGCCCTGTTTGTTTAAAGGTAAGCGTATGCATACATTCAAAACGTGTCATGATCATGGTCTTCTGGGCTGTGACGTTTTCTACTGAACTGAAGTCTTGGTTTTGTGTTATGTTGTCTGGGGTCTGATAGTTGATATTCTCGACAGCCTTTCTTGTTTCATTCTTCCCTTACATTTTGAGTTATGGAACATCAATCATCTTGCTTCCTTTCCCTGAGTCATGTATTTGTTCTTTCATTCCATTCTCATAAGTAATTACTACGTTGGAAAATGCATTTTATCCTTATTTTTATCACGTTATGAGTTTCTTTTTTGTTGTGGCTGATTTGCATTGGGCTCTCAGCCACTCGTTTCCCAGAAGGAAGTGGAGAATCAATATGTTGCCATTCCATTTGTTCCTCAAAATTGAATGTTTATTTGCTGGTAAAATTACAGGTCTATAGAGATTCTGAAGCCACACCTATGGTTTGCTGCGATGTCTGCCAGCGCTGGGTGCACTGTCATTGTGACGGCATCAGGTACCTTTCAAGCTCCAGCAGTTGGGTACATGTCTTGCATATGAGTTCTTATACTTAGCCTATTTTTACGGACGCCTATGGAATCCTGGCTCTGTTTAAAACTTTGTACTTTCTGTGCACAACTTCATAGGTTTAGGCTTTTGGTGTAAACTGAGAATTTTTGCCTGCTTAGATTGATTGTTTATTTCTCTCTGATACGGATGTATGATGTAATGAATGTATGAAAGTGAAATGCAAAATTTGTATGGTACAAGTTAAAATTTCTGTTCACTCATTGCTCACTCATTTTATTTGGTTACCATTTTCTATGGTAAGAGTGGGTATTCTTTTTGTGGGAAAAAAATTTCTCTGTCTCTCTGGTTTATGATAGAATCATCAGTTATCATTTCAAACTGATTTTGGATAATGCTTCATAGTTTATTTTTCAGCATACACGTAGTATTTTGTCAAGATCTTAGATATAATGGTCCTTTGCGCTAATTATGATTTCTTTTTCAGTGATTCAAAATATATGCAGTTCCAAGTTGATGGAAACCTTCAGTATGTATGTCCTACATGCCGCGGAGAGTGCCATCAGGTATGATCCAGCTTTGCAGGCACCATGGTGTTAAATGGAAACCAACTTCAGAAAATGAACTTCACTTTTTTTTAATGTTCACCAGATTCGGAGCGTTGAGGAGGCCGTTAGTGAGCTCTGGAAAAGGAGAAATGAAGCTGACAGGGATCTAATAATCAATTTGAGGGCTGCTGCTGGATTGCCCATTGAGGATGAGAGTTTTAACATATCACCTTTTTCTGATGATGAAGAAAACACGCATGCTGTGCTGAAGAATGAGCATGGCCGCTCATTGAAGTTTTCCCTTAAAGGATTAGCTGATAATTCTCCTAAAAAGAACAAGGAGTACTTGAAGAAATATTCAAATAAGAAGCCTAATAGAAACAAGGGGCATATGGTGTCTTTGGAGGGTGGTGCTGAGCCAAATCGACATCTTGAAAGAGAAGGTAATGCTGCAGCTTTTAGATTCAATGTTGTCGATGATGACAACGAACAAAAGCAGTCTTTTAGGAGTGGAGAATCGGATAGCTATGTTTCTCCCAAAGCTAGAAGCTTGACTGAGGGAATGTGCTGGGTCAACCAGGATGGAGTTTCGAAGCATAAATTTATAGGTGATGATCAAGCAATCCTGAACAGCCGAGCACCTAAAAAGGTCAAAATTAAGAGCAACCGAAGCCAGGGTGGAGATGATTCAGAACACCAAACAAGCTTGTCTAGGTCCACCAAGGGAACAAAGCTTGTTATACATTTAGGTTCGCGCAATAGGAATCCGACTAGTTCCCCTAGGTCGGATGGTTCAAGCTACCAGAAGGACGCAGATATAACCACTTCGAATGGTATAACTTCTGATATTTCTTCGAGAACAATAAAAAGTTTCTTTAAGTTTGGTTTTCCAGGTTTTTTTTTTTTTTTTTTTTGTGACTGTTCGTTTTCATTTGTCTAATACGTTGCATTTTGGTTTTTGCCTGGATCATCTATAAATGTTACAAAAACAGTATAATTGAATCTCTCCGATTTTCTTGTATGTGCTTTGTTCTTGATGGCTTGTGCTCCATCTTTCCCACATCAATCATGTTCAAATCAAAACAATGAATGGTTTTAAAAATGCACTAAGTTTTCCTTTTTCCCGGTATAAGTGTGCACGAGTTGATAAATTTGTTCGATTAACCTAAGGGGACGAAATTCCCTTAGATTCACTATTTTAGAAAAAGAAGATGATCATAGTGTAAGTTGTCTGAATCCTGCTTGCTTGAAATGTTAAATGATACGTTATGTCTTTGTTCCTCTTTTGATTAGTGAGTTTGAGTTTTAAGAGGGGAGAGGAGAATGCCCATCTGAGCTCAGGAAGGTTTAGGTGTATATTGTGTTCCATGAAAAAATACTCTGTACATTGTTGCGACTCTGGCTGATGGTAGATTTTTTTACGAGATTTTTCTGACCCCAGGTAGTAATGAATAGCATTATAGCCTGACCATTTTTTTTATGCATACTGCTATTGATCATGTCAGATAACCAGAAGATCATGGATTTGAATTGTGAATCAAGTTTGTATTTGTTTACATGGAAGCAAAAAGTATTTTTCCTTCTGAAATGTTCATTGTTCATGCATTCTTTGAAGGTTATCAGTTTTACAATTTGGTTTCTTCAATTGTACTGCGAGTCAGATTTCATATTGCTCTGTTTTTTAACCAACAAATAGGCAGTGAAGATGGCCACCCTTTGAAGCATGGGTCTGTGGACAGGCAGGACCATGTAGCTAATGTTGGAGATGGAAAAGGTATTTGTCTCATGCTAAAAATGGTGGAACTCATGTGATTCCCGTGTGGTTTTGTGGAAATTCGAATGTTTATTTTTAATTGCTTGGGTTGCACTTGTGATTGCAGATCAAAGGAAAGGCTCAAAGCTCCGGGGAAAAGAAGGCAATCTAGTAAAGATAAAGAAATCAAGTTCCCTAGTCACTGACGTGCCCTCAAGATTTGGTGGATCAAAACTATCAGATGGGTTAGCATCTGTTTCTGTGCCATATACTCGTGCTTCAGCCGGGAAAAGGGCTGCTGAGAGTGCCTCAACTGGAATGAGGAGTGATGCGGAAGTTCTGTCTAGCAGAGGCAACAAGTCATCAATGACTGCTTCGGATGATATTAGTGGCAAACCAGCAATGAGTATTCAAAGGGAATCCAAGCCTCTCTTGAAACTTAAAATTAAGAATCCTGTATCTGAAAACCAAATTTCATCAGGTCTTCATCAGGAGGAGGAGAGGAGCATTAAGCGCCAACGATCAAAAAGAAAGAGGCCTTCACCTTCTAGTGAAAAGGTGCCAACAAAGAACGGGGACAATGTGTCAAGTGTATATGAGGCCAGGGCTATGGATGATGAGATCTTGGATGCTAACTGGATTTTGCAAAAATTGGGTAGAGATGCCATTGGAAAGCGAGTGGAAGTTCATCAGCCGTCAGATAACTCTTGGTAAGCTTTTCCCTTCTTTTTTCCATGTTTGACCAAAGTTTCCCTCGGGGAATCTGAGGATTGCACATAATGTCATGGGAATTAGCAAGGTTGACTTTTGTTGATGAGACCCACTGATGTCTTGGAACTTCAACGTGCATAGTTCATGAGTCGTTCCTACCTCTTCCTAAAATGCCGGGTTTTTTTTGTTTTGGTTATAGGCATAAAGGAACTGTGATTGAAGTGTTCGAGGGCCCACCATCTGTCTCTGTTTCCCTTGACAGTGGGAAGGCAAAGAATTTGGAACTTGGAAAGCAGGGGATTCGCTTCATCTCTCAGAAGCAAAAGCGTCGATGACTGGATATATGTAGTCGAGTGAATGTTTTAGGGGAAGGTGTCCTTGTTATATAGTGCAAAGGGGGTAACTAAGCATTGAAGATACAACGATTGGAAGGTAGCCGTAGGATTTTGGCACATTGACGTGACAGAAGCAGTTTAGGGCTGCCATCATGAAGCTATGGCAAATTTGAGCGCTTTTTAAATTTCGCCTGAATTTGCATTGCTTCCTCCATGTATCTTGCTCCTCCATAGCTAGAGTGTATTCTCGAGTAACCAGGCCAACCACAAAATGCCCTCCCTTGTAGTAAAGAGGGAGGACTCTACTAAGGTCAAATCTTTAGTGTAGTTTTTTTTTTTTTGGTAATTGAATGCATGATGTACAGGAATAATATTCCGCCCCCCCCCCCTCCCCCCCTTTTTTTTTAAGACTGATAATAAACATTATATTCATTGATGACGTCGTTGAAATTGAGGATACATGATTCAACTCATAGCGGGGTCGGATTGTTTCCTATCTTAATAATGCTTAAAGCAATTGTGTCTTGAAATTTGGTTTAGTCGCGTGAGACCTGTATAGATTCTGTTTTCACTAGTAGTTTAATAGCAGATTTAAGGGTGAATTGATTAAGTGGTTAAGCAATCTTGCCATTTTGGTCGACACAAATACTCTATCCTCAATTAAGGAACGATTCGGTGACACAGTATTCTATTTGCTTATTTTGTGTTTGTTACAAATGAAACAAATTACTAAATATTAAAACCATTATTAAAAAAAAAAAAAAGGAAAATGGAATCTTGTCACTAAGCTTATTACGAAGATAATTCCTTCCTTGGTTCTGAGGACTCTGGATCTTATGATGAAGAGAATTCCCTCCTTGGTTTAGAGGATTCTGAGGAATTTGTATCTTATTATGCAGAGAATTCTCTCCTTGGTTCACAGGACTCTGTATCTTATTACGAAGAGAACATCATCTCATTAAGGTGCTTGATCCCGTTATCATTTTCTTACTAGCCTAGCCAGATTCTGCTTTTTGAAGCTGTGATATATTTAAGTTTTAAGGTTTGACAGACTGAAGTTTCTCAACATTACAAATGAAATTATATTTACGCTCAGTTTGCAAGATTAGAAAATCGTTAGATCTTAACAATGGAGCTAGCAAGTGGTAGGCGAGGGCTAATCATCATGCTTTTGTAGCGCCCACAGCCCTTGACGGTGCTTTGATGCATGGTTGGCTGTGTAAGGCACAAGTTACTAATCCATTAATGGTGTTTGGATTGGACGGGGGTTTGGATACCCTTTGATAATTTATTTGGTGGTGCCTCACATACACCCGAATGTGACTTGTATGTATTGTCAACAATAAGAAACCTGGGAAGTTCACAGGGCTACAAAAGAATCATTTTAAAACTAAGATGGTCATTTTTTTTGGCAGAAAAGATCATATGTGTAATTTGCATATCGAATTTTATTAGCTTCGTAGGCTTTGCTTGTAGCATCTGGAGTATATGTTTTTGGGGCGTTTTACTTTACCCTTTCTGCACTTTGTTATTGGTGCTACATGTTTACATCTTTGTGGGTGAGTTTTGCTTGAAGCTTTTGAGTATGGTATTTGGCTATGGTTTATAAAAGACATTTTGGATAAATTGTTGGCCTTGTGGATGGATATCTGTTGGTTTTTCAGGTTGCAAGTTTCTTGTTTTCAAATTATATTTTGATTTTTTGGTCATTAGGTAAGTAAATTGCCTCGGATGCTGGGTAACTTGTGGTTTGTCTGCTTTAGGTGCTTTCATTTGTACCGTAGCTTGTGATAAATTATGTGCATCATTTTTTTTCTTTTGCACATCATGAAATTTATGTTGCATCTGGTTACTTCCTCTTTCATACGTGAACTTATTGTATCTTGATGGTTGACTACAGGCGGAGTTCTATAAGCTCCCCATTAATTTTCAAGTAATAAGATGTTTTAGAAACTCCAGCGAGGATTTGTTTGCTTTTAGTATCCTCCTTTGTAAGCTATCTCTCATGAGGAAATGATGTAGTCCATGTACCTTTCTAAATTTTATTTCCTGCAAATTGTCTGGTGGCAACATTTAGTTTCAAATGTGTTACTGTCATTCGACTTGTGTGTGTGCGCGTCCGTGCACTTTTTCTATACTCTTTTGTGCTCTTATTCTCTTCCGTGCACAGAGGGGTAAGAAAGCATTGACACATAACGATTGGAAGCTAACAGTAGGATTTTTCGTGCTTGGAGGACATCAAGAAGCTGGTTCAGTGCTGCCCTCCCAAGCTATAGCATGTTCAAGTTCAACTGCTTTTTCATTTTTCGCTCTATTTTGCAGTCTACTCGCAGATACCTCGTGGTAATTGAATGCACGATATACGGGAACAGCATCACTTCTTTGTTTTGCTTCTTTGTTTGTTTGTTTATTCATTTGGTTTTTTTTTTTTTTTTTTGGATTGATAAACATGATGATGTTTTCAGTAATGATATCGGTGAAAATACAACATCTATAATATATATACTAAGATCTGCCCGGGCGGCCCCTTCCATTATAATTTTTTTGCAAATGGAAAGGGAAATTCTAATCTAAGTGAAATACATATGTGGTTATATATATATTTTTATTATAATGTGTAAAGATAGAAATAATAATTATATAAGTGAATTTAATGTTTGATGAGGTTGAAAAGATATTTATTTGAAATTATCATCTAAATTTTAGGATCTTTTAATTGATTATATAAAAAAAAAATCTTCTAAACTAATCAAAGTAATATAGGAATCAAATTGTGAGAAATCAAAAATAAAGATCATAACAACAATAAATTTCATTAAACCTTTTGTTTTTTTTTTTGTTCGCCTGGAGACATGGGAGCAAAATTTTTGATTTGAAACCTTTTAATATGAATTTGAAGTAAAATTTTAGTCAGAGTTATTTAAGAGATTTGAAGGGGAATTGAAGCAATGATTGAATATGTCGATTTTTTAGATGCCTTCTGTGGAAATGGGAGTGCTCAACAGTTTGGAAGGAATTTGACTAAAGGTTTTGAATTTTAATTTTCACTAATTTGTAGGAATTTAATGTGATCCGGAAGTGTATTTTAGAAGTTTTTTTAATCCAGAAATAAGTTTATTTTTTATTTTTTGTTTTAGAAAGAAAATGACACATGACAAAATGGTTTATGTAATATGGTGCATTTGGAGCCAAAAATTTTTAATAAGAATTCGCCATATTAACATCCTGTATTCTACTTTAATAGAGTAAAAGGAATTATACTAAGAGAAACCAAAGAGTGAAAACAAAAAAACTCTAAAAGTGTCACATAGGATTTTATCCTATGTAACAATTTTCTAATGCATTTCTCAAAAGTATTTTTGCACAATTATACTAAAGTCCTTCAAATTTTCTATAACTATAAGTTTAACAAATCGCATTTAAAAGAAAGTTAGTTCAAAATGGAAAACGGGAGTAATCAAATTTAATACCTCCCAAATATAATTCCCAATTATTATTAATTGATTGATTTAAATTGTAAGTTTAAAATGGCCACTATTACCCTAAAATATCGTGAAACATAATGACCTAAATAATAAATATTCATTTATTACAAATTTGTGATCAATATATTAATTACTACTTTTGTATTTTTTTATCTGTCGCTTTAGGGTTTGCACAACTTTTAAGAAAATAATGATTGAAAATTTAATTTATAAGGGTATTGTTTTTCTTGCCCCTAACTAAAAGTATTGGAACTCTAAAAAATTTAAAATTGAAGTTAAAGAGTAGACAGTTGTCATTAATATATGTTATTAAAAGTAGAGTTACCAACTTACAATCCAAAAATTACAATTAAATAATGAGTGACGTGGGTGTGACATGTGGACTTGACTATCTCATTTTTTGCTATGAGGATTAAACTATTTAGTTTTGCACCATGTGTTTGATTGAGAACTCTCATTTAATATATATAGAGATATAGATTATATTACTCAGGTAAAGAAAATGTAAATTCTTATGAGAACGTGAAACGCCGAAACTGTCGTGTTCTGCTCACGTACATAATCTTTTTTCTTTTTTTTTTAAGTAAAAATTGTTTTCATTCAGTTATACCAATTGACCAATTGAGTTGGTATCGCCAACTCATGTGCTATACTATTGATACATCGTCGAACCCAAAAAAAATCCCTAAAGGATGAATCTGGCTAAGCAAGGTGTGAATAGCTTCCAAAACTGGTTCAGAGTCTGAGTTGTTAACATCTGAGACAACTACTTGAGCTGCAAGAATAAGTGTTCGAAGCATCTTCCAAATCAGAAAAATTTTCAAGACCTTATTGCACGGCCAACAACAAAGCCTCTTTAGAGTTAAAGCCTCCCCAATTCCGGGATCCGTTATTCCCACAAATTTCCTTGATATCTTCCCTTGACAAATTTTTCCTTCAGAGTCTGAAAGCCACACCCCTATTCTTGCACATCGATGTAGTTGGGAGATTCCACCATATCAAACCAAACTTTCGTACTGTCCGGAGGCCGACCCAGGAGAGAATGCGTTTGCAGGGACGAAGACAAGGTTCTGGCCAGACATTTGCGTCAAGAAAATTTCCGCGCATACTGCCAGCGTGGAAGCTGGACTTAAAGATTCTCCTTCATACAATAATTTGTTCCTTCTAAACCATATACAGTTTAGTAGAGTGGCTACCACCTATGCATTTTTAGCATCCAGTAGAGTTAGAAGAGGTTCAAACCAATATCTTCCCGAGTCTTTTTCGTGGTGCCACACTAAGGTTGTCATGGAGGAAATCCGCCATTACCTCCGAAGCAAATGGAAAGTCAAAGAAAAGGTGTTTTGTTGATGTCTCTGGACTGTCACAGTTTTTTTTTTTTTTTTTTTTTGAAAAGGTGACTGTCACAGTTTATGCATACATAATCTAAGGACTTTATTTTTGACTCAGCTACTGCAACGTAAGCTAAGGGTATGTTTGTTTCGTTTTTTTAGTGTGTGTTTTTAGGTGTTTTTTGTATTGGGAATGTAAAAATGTGTATTGAAAATGTAAAATGATATACTGGGATGAAACAGTTATTATTTAAATATTTTGAAAATACTATCAAAAAATCCTAACAAACAAAGCTTAAGTATTTGGTAAGAATTTTGACTAAGGAAACACATGGTTGACTTTCACAGTTTAATCTCTACCAATCAAATCATTTACCATGAATGATCATGTGTAAATTTCTTAATATCCCTGACCAACCTGAAACTTGACAAAATATCCACTCTCTTTTAATATATACTAATTTTTACTCCACACGTTGTATGGATTGTTCAAAAATAATATTGATGATTTAAATTACAATTGTGTAAGTTTTAGTGTCAATGTGTTTTATTATTTTAAATACATTTGTAATAATTTTCAATATTCAAAATCACCCAATTTAACTTATTGTCCATCTTTTTCGTTTTGTTGGTTTAGAACTTTATATCTTTTAAAAGTATTCTTTTAATTTTTCATAATGATCTTCTAAATATTTTTATCCGTGCTATATCTTTTAAACTCTCCCTCTAACAGAAATTTTTTCCATTCTTTCTTTCTAAAAAGTTATTTTTATTTCCATTTCTCTATATACTTTTTGCAACCTTTCTCTAAAAGTTTGTCCGTATATTTTTCTCATAATATAGTGTTACTTTATTTTTTTCTCCTTGGTTGCATAGTCTTTGGCTTTTTTAAATTTTTTTTTGATGATTTCTCTTTAAAGCTTCATTTCTTGAAGAATTTATTATAATTATTTCATTTTTCACTATTATCTCATTTTTCACTACTATCGTCTCTTTTTTTTGGCCATGAAAAGTAGCTGATATGATTGTGAAACTCTTTGAGCTAAGTTTTCAGAACATATCAATTGGAGATGATAAGTTTAATTTGCACCGGGCACAAGTACGCACGCTCTATTAGGGGCTTTTTGGACCAATTGCACATTAAAAATACACACAAACATGTTATCTTTTTGAGAAAACATTGTTATAATGAATTTGATTCAGGATTGGTGGAATCTTTTTCATAAAAGAATGGTTATTCATTTTGCAACAAGTTATAACAATCGACTTCATGGTCCTATAAACATAGTATTGGGAAAAAAAAATTCATAAAAAAATGGTTATTCATTTTGCATCAAGCTATAACTGTCGATTTCATGATCCTACAAACATTGTTGGTGTAATATTAGCAAAAATTACGTTTAACCTCAAATTTGTAATATAATTTCCACCAATAGTAAAAACTTTATAAATTAATAGTGTTGGGTTCAAAAAAATTTATCAATTCATAGAGATTATTATTTTATCGATAAATTAATATTTTATTAATTTAAAAGTTTTTTAAATTATATTATGAAACAAAATACTCAACTTCCACCCTATTTTTCGTATGCAAATATGATCCTATTATTTTTATTGACAGGTTGGAGAGAAAATCATAGATGAAACTTTCTCAAATGTAAATTTCAAGAAAAAAGAAAACTTAGTAGTCTCCTTCTTAGTATTTTCTTATTATTAATTTATGATTATTATGGAACCTATATTTATTTAAGAATTTTTTAAAAATTTATTATCTTTTTAATTTATCAATTTCGTTTGAATTTTTGTACTGGTCACTGGTTGGGACGGGAAAAAAATTATTATTTAATAGATTTTATTAATTTAGGGAGTTTTTACTAGTATATTTATGAAAATTTTTGAAAATAAAATTTTAATATTTTTAAATATTTTAATCATGTTAAGAAAATAAATGTAAAGAAAGGGATAACTACACAATTATTTTGTGTACTTTAATTAATTCATCATAATAAAGTGAGTGTATTGTAATTAGTTGGGCCGCGCATCGGGCCTTGAAATAGTATATTAGCTCCCACTCATCTTCGGCGTCAACATTTTTTCGCAAAGCAAAGCTCTTTCCGACAGTCAGCTCCGACGCGATGAATGCCCCTGACCGTTACGAGCGATTCGTCGTTCCCGAAGGCGTCAAAAAGTAATTGCCCTAATTTCGTTTCAATTCGAAAAAACAAGCACTCCAATTCTCACTCTGTATTTCTGAATGTTCCCTCTCTAAGACCTGCCATCGTTTTCTTTCTCTTTTTTCATAGGGTTTCATACGAGAGGGACACTAAAACTCTGAATGCGGCGTCCTTCACCATCGAGAGGGAGGACCACACCATCGGCAACATCCTTCGCATGCAAGTTCTTCGATTACTTTCTTGTTTCTTCTCCCCTTTTTTTGTTGTTATTATTAAATTTTTGTGTGTGCGTGTGTGTGTGTGTGTTTGGTGCTTGAACCCCATTCTAATTAGGCGTTTCTTTTATTTTCTGTTGATGTGAATGAAAAATTAGGCAATTGCATAGAGACCCATCTGTGCTTTTCGCTGGATACAAGCTGCCACACCCTCTCCAGTACAAAATCATTGTGAGGGTAAGTATTCTTTTTTTGGTTTTTCTTGTTCTTCTTTTGCTTTTCCTTTCGTGCAATTGTCCTGTCTTCTTGTTATTTATAAAAATCAAATCTCTCGTTTGAAATATGCATGTAAATTGTCTGTTTTGAAGGGGTTTTATGCTTTTGATCATTTGGCGTTGATCTTAAAATGAAGGGCCTTTTTCAAAGATTGAAGTGTCATTAGGTGCTCATGTTTAGTATTACACATTGGGTAATTCAACTGTATGAAACTAGTAGGGATTGGTTCTTATCCATGGATTGTGTTGGGGTTCTGTTTGAAGATTGTAAAGGGATGTGTTTTAGTTACATGTGTGTACACAGGTATGCATATCCGTGCACACCACCATTGAAATAACACTAGCGGAATCTAGATGGAATAATCCCCTTGGAAGGATGATAAACAGCCTATACAAAAGAGCAGAAAGATCATAGCAACAAGCTTTTTTGCCTGGGAAATATTACCAAAATCGCTTGGGATTTAGGAACATTGAATTCTGAAAATAATCATCTTTGTTCTTTTATCTATCGTTTCTGTCTCGAGATTGTTCCCAAAAGAGAATTTTATTCTACAAATGATTGAGCCCTAGCAGTTAGCATATTGTTCCCAGAAGAGAAATTTATTCTACAAATGATTGAGGTAGCATGGAGAAAACTATGATTGAAATGAATCCTTTGTGATATCATTTTCTGCTGTTCAGCGTTTGTATGTTCTCTGATGATATGATTCTTAGTTTTTGTTTCTCTAAAATGTAGTAGGAGAGAGATTAGTTGTCATTGTTCAAAAAAATTGCTTTCATTAAAATGGAGTCAAGGATACTCATTTTGCAGCTTCTCGATTTGGCTCACTTTGTATGCTCCTTTCAGCAAAAACGATTCTGAAACTTAATCTTTGATGTTATTGCAGTTGTTATTGGTTGAGACTTACGACAGTTTTGTTATGTTAAATTTTTCTTGACATGCTGATGCAGTTTTGTTTTCCTTCAAAGTTTGGTTCATGTGTTGTGCTTTCCTTCTCACTATGATATGCCCACCGTAAACAATGTTTGGAAAGTTTACAAGCTTTTCTGGATTAAGATATAGGCATGTAACTTGGTTGTAGTACTTTTTTGTGGTGACAAAGAGTCTCTTGTTCATTTTTTAATGTCTTATACGAGGTTTACATCTCAAGGATATGAGACACGAAATTCATAGTGACCTAAGCAATCTAATTTGTAAAGTCGACCTCTTCACAGATTCAGACAACTGCTCAATCCTCACCGATGCAAGCTTATAATCAGGCTGTTAATGATTTGGATAAAGAACTTGATCATCTGAAGGAACAATTTGAGGTAATCATTTCTTTTTCCCTAGTTGACTATTATTTTTCCATTTTCTGTTGATGTTTTCTGGATCTCTGTTTTTCCTTACGTTTTGCTTGGTATTAATCTAGTTTTTGTATGGCATGATGCAGTATGTAGTGTGGTATGTTATTAATAAACAATGTGTATTTTCAGCTGAGCCAATTTGAACATATTACTGTTCATCTTGCCTCAAAACTAGTTGAACATCTAAGTTTCATATGAATCCGCCTGAAAGGAACACGTAGAAAACCTCCCCTTATTCTTCCTTACTAAGTGAGCCTTAGCCAGGTCAACGGTTAGTAATTTTATGACATCATTTTTTAATATAAGATTGTGATGGATCGCTTCATTAGTGGTAGAGCAAAGTTCAGCATCAGACAAAAATAGCTGAGCTGCTCCTCCCATGTTGACATGCTGGTTTACTTTTGACAGGCCATGACCCATGGTCCCCTGTTTTTGAATCAGTTGTTTTATTGGTGTGGTCATGTAAGAGCCTGTTTTTGAATCAGTTGTTTATTTGGTGTGGTCGTGTAAGAGTTTTAAGGATGACTCTATCTGATTTGTCTAAGTATGATTTGTTGAGATTATCTCACTGCAAGGGTTTTATGGTGATGCTTGCTTGGTTTAAAATTTAATTTCTTGTTTCTAGGCTGAGGTGGCGAAGCTCGCTGGGTACTAAACTGTTGTCGAAGAAAGCAGGGAGAGTGCAACAAATGCTGTGGATATGGTTTAATCGTAGTTTTAGGGAACTGAAATGCACATGAGCGCTTGTTTGACATTATGGTGCTAGCTTTTTGTGTATTTAAGGAGATATGAACTCCTTTTGAGGTTGATTTTCTGGGAACTGAATCGTCTGATAGTGTTAAATTGGCTAATGGGAGTAACTGCCGAATGGATCTAATATACTGTTGTTGCAAGGGCTGTCAGTTCATGCCTTAAAAGTTCCATTAGGGAAATTAAAATAAGATGCTAATTAACAAAGATCTATGCACGTTTGGTAAAGCTTAAAGCTTTTGTAAATGTTCTGGGACCATTGTGATCGATATCGTCCAAACACTCATCCTAATTCCTAGCAACGTCTTAATGCAATTTTGCTAATAGCACATTTTGGTGTAACTAGAGTGATTAAACGTGCTTCGCTTATTTTTCCATGTTTAAAAAAAATGAATAATTTATTTTTTATAATAATAATCCTAACAAATGATATTATCTATTATTACAGTATTTACAAATATATGTTACGAACACTATTATTCATTGCACTACTTAGAAATAACAGTGTTATCTATTTTTTCAGTATTTACAAATAATATGTTACGAACACTATTATTCATTGCACTACTTAGAAATAACAATATTATCTATTATTACAGTATTTACTAATAATATGTTACGAACACTATTATTCATTGCACTACTTAGAAATAACAAGTGTTAGAGAAACTTTAAAAAAAGAATAATGGGATAAGGACATAAACCTTCGCGAATTATTTCATATACTCCCTCTGTCCCAAAATTATTGTCCAATTTAAAATTTCACTTTTAGTATAATTTGAACTAAAAATGAAAACCCAAATTGGACAATAATTATGGGAGAAGGAGTACTTTATTTTTCCCTCGAGTTATTTGAAACGGGAAAAGACTCCCTCCGACCACCATAAATTGAATCAATCGTCTAGAAATGTAAAATGACTGAAAACCAAGAGGGATTTGGGTGAAAATTTGAGCAATGAAATTAAAATATGATGATTTATCATTATATCCCTAACTCATCTTCTAATTTTCAAGTTCTACCATCTCTCTTCTTTCTCTTCCCAAAGCCGCCGTCACCACCGATAATCACCACTGCTTCTTATTTTGTCCTCCAAATTTAGATACCTTGCGAAAAAACATATTTTCACTCGAAGTAGACTCTAATATACACTTGTTCTCTACAGGAGTCGAATAAGAATATCCCTTCACCTCTTTTTACTTTTACAAAAATATTAAAAGAATTACAAAACAAAAAGAAAAGCAAACACACCATCTTATTTATCAATAAAAATCAAAATCTCCAACGGACATCCAGACCAATTTAAGGATCAAAATACGTTAAATCACATGAGTAAAACTCTAAACAATTTCATCGAATGAATTTAAAAATTTGATTCATTGGCAAGGTTCCAAATCTAGGTAGAGAAAGACTTTAATTGTGGATTTGATTCCTTAAAACTATTAGCAAACAATCTTGGCTTTTTATAGTAATTGTTTGAAAAAATTTTAAATGGGCTAATCAAAGGAGAAGGTGGTAACAACAACAACTTCAGATTTGCCGACTAAAACTAGAAGAAGAACCTAATAATTAGATTTAAGAAATTTTTCTTAATCTTACCTTTTTAAAAAAGGAATTCTTTTTAAAAAGTACTAAGAATAATTTTATTTTATTATAAGAAAGGATAATTTTATTTATACATGTTCAAACTTCGACAAAAAGGCATTTATATTTTTACGATCATTTTTTCTACTTCCGCCATCAAGTTTTGACGTTTTTGTACGCTAAGGGACCTATTTGTCCGTTGACCAGCCAGTCAAGGGGGTCTTCGTCGAGAGATTTTTACCCAACTATTTTTTAATAGAAGGACCTGGACAAAAATATATGGCCAAAAGTAGTGTGAACAAATGTAATTGTCTCGAATTTAACATAGATTTGGATTTGGCAAATCTGAATTTATCCAATAGAAATCATATATCAGTTTATTATTCAGTTTATTCGGATTTGACATATATTGGATTTGGCAAATCGGATTTGATAGTTGTATTATAAGGAGATTCAGATTTGCCAAATCCGAATCTATTACAAAATAGATACATTCGAATTTGGCAAATTTGAGACAACTAGTTTTAGCCACCTAAAATAGAAAAAAATTATTTTTGTCCACGTCTTTTTTAGGAAATTTTTTTGGCCGAAGCACCCGGTCTTTGTCCTTTCAAAAAAACTCGGAGAAGGGGGAGTGGGAATAAGGTATGGGACATAGTTCGGAGTAGTTTTTGTCTTTATTCCAAGAATTATGGAATACATAAATAACAAAGTAATATAGTTAAAATTCTCATTAAATTAATGATTATTAATTTTAAACAGAAGTACTCATTACTTTAGTACGTATTTGATCAAGTAGTAGTCCATTAACTAAAAAGGTGAAGGGAGAGTAGAAACTCATGTGAACCACATTAAAACGATTTGAGAAAGAAAAAAGTGTAACAAAAAAAATATAAACTAACCAAAACCGAATAAATATTGCTTAAGTGAAATTTTCTTGAATCCTCAAATATAAATCTGAAAAACATTCTAGGATTTCCATTGTGAGTACAAATAAAATCACATATACAAAAGTAAACATATTAAAAAACAAGTTTGCTATAGTAGGACCAACAAAAAATTTAAAAAACTGAACCTGGAGAGGAAAGAGAAGAAAAATCAGAGATCATGTACATCAACTGGAGATGACAATATATGGAAATTTAAGGGCGAGTAGTCACCTTGAACGCGCTTCGCACGTACGTGATGGAAACAAATGCTTTTATAATTGAATTGGTTATACTAATTACATCATTATCACTTGAATATGGATATTTGTTTTATTTTAAAATGATCAAATATACAAATTTCATCCATCTAGAAAGCTCATAAATTAAAGAGTGTAATAAAAAACTTAATTCTTATTCTTAAAATGAAAAATAATACAAGTGCAATTTCACATTGCATCCGATCTTTTGGAATTTAGTGAAATCATAAAAAATTTCTAAATAGAGTATCCTTAGATAATATAATGAATTTCAAAAAATTTACAGTAGAACTCAAATGAAATGGAAAAACGAAACCCTTACAAAGTAACTCAAAAACCTTTAGAACTTTTATGATTTGAAAGGAATTAATGAAAACCTTTCTAATTTCAATATGAGATTTTTCGCAATGAAGAGTTATTGATTGCATTTAAGACTTTGCTGCTATTTGATCACCACTAATACCTAGTAGATACTTTATGGTGTTCTTTTGTAGAATTTGCTGGTACTTGATCTCTATGGGATAGTTTAAACAAAATTGAAACATCTGGTGGCTAGAGCATGTGAAGTGTTTTATAGACTTTGACAAAAAAAAAAATCAATCGTTTATAATAATTGTCAGAATATCAAGAGGAGAGTGAAGATGAAGGGACTATAATGATAAATTTAAATTTCAATAGTAATTAAAGTAGAGGTAAATGAAGGAGGTGAATAGGTTATAATAATGAAGTAAGGTTTAAATTATGTCTTGTAGTTAAATTGAAATCACACAAGTAGAGGACTACCAAAATCTTTCGAACTCAGCTTTCACGTCTACAATCCTGCATTGTTTAGTTGTCAATCCTTGTCTATATTCAGATTCAATAGTTCCTTTTTTTGAGTGTTACATGATTGAAAATTCATCTTGTAGTCCATCTAGTTCTCCTCTAAGGTTATGCTGCTGGATAACTAATACAGAGGCCGTGACTGAGAAATCAGAAGCCGAAAGAATGTCTCCAATAGGACCAAGTTCTGGACATTCCTCCCAATCATTCATCCCTACTGTCAAAACTGAATTTACTCTACCACCTCTACCTACAATGAACAGGCCATACTGTCCTTCGAGTGATCTCAGTGTCGAAAATGTTTGTCCAGAATTAACTAGGTATTTTTCCATGTAAGCAACACGGCCACCAGCAACATGCCGGTCATAAAACTCGGCGAAGCACTCATCATCCACCTTCATTTCTTCTACATGCGCGGTAGAGTTGGCCTTTGCAATGGTGATTCTTGATGAGACACTGTCCCCACTGACCTCCAACAGAAACCTTATAACTGTGAGTTTTACTCCTGAATGACGTGCCACACGCCCAGCGTAGGCTAGTGCTTCGCGATCATCTTTGCCTCCGATGAAAATGACTGCTGCATTAAGGGATACTGTTGATCTCGTAATCATTGTTATACCGAGGCCCCTATCTACCAGTATGCCCACTGAACACGGGGCATGGCGAAGCACCTGACAAACCATGACAGCACAATAAAACAAGAACATTACTTTGATGCAATCTTGATGAATCTTAAACACTTGAACCCAATTGCCTTTCATACTGACAAAAGTCTTTCATGAAAAGATGGTCTACCTTACGGTTCACGTGTCGAAAACCCGAATGACCTCCGTTGAGCTTGCCATCTGCTTCCTGTTGCTTGTGAAATGGCAACACAACAAGGGAAACCATGAGATCTTCTGCCAGAATGCACAAGTCTTGGTGCATGCTATTGATGGTTGAAAGTGCAAGCATTCGCTTTTGTTGAATGCCATCCTTAAGATCACTCAGGTAAGCATCAACTGTCTGTGTGATTTGATCCCTCATTTCCACAATTTCAGGATCAGTTACAATCAGAGCATCTGCTCCTTCACCTTGTTTAAGTGTTGCAGCTACTTTATCTGTCAGTTCAACCATGTCCGTAAGATACACCATAACCCCTGGATCAGGCGGTCCTCGAGAAATCTCCATAAAATTAATGGCAGAAGTGACATTTTGGCTCCCGCGCAAGCAAAGCAAGATGCGGAACTCATTCGTTGGATGGAGCCATTGCAGGGCCATTTGCTTCGTTGGTGAGCGTTTCCTCGCACGTTCAATTATTTTCGCTACAATCAACGGGGTATAGATGACTGTAAGTAACGTTGTAAATACCATCGCGATGCTTGTAGAAAAAGTTGTGATAGTCATCTGCATTTAATGAGTTGAAACCAATCTCTTCAGTCATTTATGCTTCATACCGTGTTCAATAGTGATGCTTTTGTTTGAAGATGTTATTGATCAACTTCCTCTGTTAGGTTATTTAGAAGTTTGCGATGTTAATCTTATGGCGTGAATATGAATGCTAGGTATCAAATTTGGTGCAACATACAAAGTGATAAAAAGGAAGTAGAGGAGCCAGAAGCCTTACCTGCGCTGCAGTTAAAGCTAAGTAAATGTGAAACCGGCCCTTGATGTTAAGAAGCAAGCCAATGGCCATTGATTCAGGCCAATGAAATCCCAAAACAATGCCAGAGACAAGTGATCCAAGAACCTTTCCAGCTACTGTGATGAAAAAGGAAAAGAATAACCTTGCCCAAGTATATACATGGCCTGCTTCAAACTTCGAAAAGCTGGCTTGTGTTCCTACCCAACAGAACAGAAGTGGATTGAAGATGGTGGTAGTAAAGTAGTTCACCTTCCCAATGATCAATTTTGATATCCTTCCATCCCTTGGCATGAAAAGCCCGGCAAGAAATGCGCTCAATACTTTGTTATATTGGCCAACCAATGGCGAAAAACTGCAAACTAGGACTATAAATGCAACTGAAAGGACTAGATGTGAGCCTTTCATTGGTTTCCCTTCAGGGTTTTCAAGATTTACCCAGTTCATAAACAAGGGAGTGAGTTTAGCTGCAATAACCATCTGAATCACCAAGGTAGAAACCATAAGAAGGATGGGTTTTGCCTCCCGAATGCGAAAACTGGCGAAGGGATCGAAGATGACATAACCAACACAAATGAGAAGAGTAGTGATCAGGTCAGAATGTATACCAGCTGTAACAACAAATCTTCCAATATCCGACTTCCCAATCTTAAGGTCGGTTATCAATCTAGTTAGTAAAGGGGAGGCAGTTCCACAAAGTATGATAGAAAAGCATAGGCTGAAGGTATAATTAGAGACTTTAGATATCTTCAGAAATGGTGAGAGCAGTGAAGCAAAAACAAATGTGGTAAGCACTCCTGAGTAAGCGACTTTCGCCTCGCGAAATGGCACACGCAGGAAGATATAAGGATCGATTTCGAGCCCTAACACAAACAGATGGAAGATCATTCCGAAATCAACAACAAAAGTTATGTATTGTTCAACTTCTGCAGTAATTTGACGCCGAATAATAGGTAGGTTGCTAAGACTAAGTCCCACCTGCATCAAATGTCATGTCACACATTACTACTCATTTACTCATTACTTATTTCAGCAAAACAACAAAACAGACAAGATCATGCTATTGGGGAATGCTCCAAAAATGCTAAATCAACGAAATACTTGAATCATACAGAACTGCATTGTCCTAAAGAAACTATTTCGGTATAACGAAATGTTCCCCCAAGATAAAACATGCCTTCCTCTTTTAAGAATTAGAAATCACAGAAATTAACAAGTATATAGATCCAATATTTTTAAATCTATTTAAAAACAAAGAGAAAGGAACCCAAAGAAATTTACTCGTGAGGAGTGATATCAAAGTGTGAAGGAAAAGTTGTTAAAGAATTTATTTTTTCACTGAATGGAGTAAAGTGGCTTGTTGATGTTTCTTATTTACAGGCCAAGGCACATAAGGTTGCATTAACATCAGCCTCATCTGATCTTTTAAAGATTAAAAGACTTTACTTCAAATAACTCTTTGGCCTTAATTAGTAAACTCTTTACTTTGTATGTATGAAACACTTTGAAAGATTAAAACCGAAACACGTAAAGAAGATTTCAATTTCTACAAATTAACACAACCAGTTGGATTCAAAATATTAAATATTATCTTTTGAAATAAATTAAGTGAAACACCAACACATGCATTAGAAAACAATCAATCAATAAAAATGAATCGAAACGGCGAAAAGGGCTCAAGAAACATGTCATGATTAGATGCAATGGAGAAAGAAACCAAACAAAATCAACAAAGATGATTCATCATGTGTACACTGTTTCAAATACATTATCCATAAGAAATATGAAATCATTAAGAGTTTAAAACTCATCCCTCCCATTTAGTAACAGTTAAAGCACTCATCACGTAAAACTGCAGCAGAGTCAATACTGACTTGTTATTACCCATTGAACCTACTTCATGGGGCCTTCAATCACATAGGTTGGGTTATCATCTTTAGACTTTAAGCTGGCCTAAGCCTCATATCTCATATGAGGTTTGAAGAACTATTTTTCTTCCAACAGATTTAGTCAATTAATCGGCCTAATTCATTTTTGACTTCCAATAATTCCATCTCTGAGTAATTGTATCACAACGTTGTATCTCAATTTTAAGTATACTTTTATAATTATATAATGCATTCTTTGCATTTATAAATTGTTGTTTGACAACCACATTACAAAGACACCGGAGGCATCACATTCCTTTATAAGGGAATATCGCTAAGAAGTTTCTTAGCCCTCGGCCTCTAAAGCAGCCATCTCCAGAGTTACAAACTCTGACTCCATAGTGGATGTAGTAACTATAGTTTGCCTAGCTTCAGTAATCCAAAACTTTCAGTCCATAGTGGACCTAGCAACTATACTTTGCTTGGCTGATTTTCTCGCAATTGCACCCCTCATAAGGGTGAACACATAAACATTAGTTCATTTTGTCTCGCATGAATCAAAGACTCATTTAACACCACTGATCTTCTCAAGATCAACGGAAAATCCAAAATATATTTATGGGATACCTTTGTTAATAGTTCCTCTCAACTATATTATTAGGAGACCATAATTCGGTTCCTCTCAGTGATTTTATCATGATATCACAATTAATGATTCCTCTCAAATATTTCAGTAGTCTATTTGTTGCAGACCAATGCTCATAATTAATATTATATTGACTCGTGCGGCCTATTCACAATATAAGGCATATCAATTTAAAATGCATAAGAACTTCAATAATCTGAGTATATTTAAATGGAGCAATAGACTCATCACAATTTATTTCAATTAAGTATTAGTATTATAAGAAGTACCTACATTTGTCACAACAACATAACTTTCTTAAGAAACTTTGTGACAATATAAACCATTATCTCTCCTTATCGCTTTAAAAAACTTTGATCATTTGTTTTTTCACTTAGATCTTACTAATCAAAATTAGACCAAAAATATTTAGTAATATTCATAATTAGACAAAAAATAATTTTGATCATATATGACCAATACTATTCACAATTAGATGATCAGACAATATATGCAAATCACCAACACAAAAGCAAATGATCACACAATCACCACTTACCACTTTGGTATAAACACATTTGTCAACATTCAAAAATTTTGTCTCTCAATAAGACATGATTGAATTTCTCATTTTACAGCATTAACTTTGTTTAAGATCATAAAAATTTAAGCAATTTATAAACTTAGTTTTTCTGTTATACAACAATGCACCCCTTAGGTTATAGGACATCAAAGACATTAAAGGAAAAATTAGTTTCAAAAAAATTGCCACCACATCATTGTAAACAAAAAAAATTGAAAAGTACTTCAACAATCAAATTTTTTTCTTATCGTTTTACTCCTTCTCGATTCCTCAATGGAATCGATTTCTCTATATCAAATTCAGTAGGTAAATGAGAAATTATATCAGATAGCAGAAATATGATTAAAGAAATCATCATTCTTTAACTCAACAATTGTTTTACTATCAAGCATGTTATCATCAATTTTTGAAACACCAATCTATTATATTTAGCATATCCAATAGAAATGCAACTATAGGTTTTTGAACCAATATGCTCTTTTTAGATTCAAACAAAATCATTTTAGCAAAGTAACCCCACACTTTTAAATATTTTAATTAAGTCCGCTACCCTTTATGAAGTTTGTAATTTCTTCTTATCCAGATATACAATTATATATATAAGAATAAATATGAGTTTCCCATTTTCGTAAATCATATTCTTATTAAATGTGAACTCATTCATTTAACATGAATTTAGTAATTCATCTACTAGAAATCATAAAACAAATTAAACTATATGCAATTATTGCAGTTTGACTAGTCTCATATCACAAGTCAATATTAAACACATATAAGTTTAATTTTACGTATCATGCTCAAGAAATACTCAAGAAATCATATTTGTTTCCATTCTCAATATTCATGAAATGAATACTAACCATATTGATTTTTGCAAAGCTTGAACCCTTTCCTAATATTTAAAAAAGACAAAACACAACATTGGTCATTTCGGTTTTAAAACATGGCTTGCTGCAATTTTCGATATCAGTAAAATATCAATTGCCATTCTTTATATACATACATAATCACATTAGACTACTGACTCCAAAAGGAATAATATATAACACATGATTTTTAATAAATTTAATATTAATCCCAAAGAAATTAATTTTGCATGCTTCATTAATTAAATTAATGTACTTCAAAGCTTGATAAAATTTAAAGACAAACATGTAACTAATAAGGGATATGGTAACTTTAATTTACCATAGTATTTTATCTATATTGTGTTTATCTTAGAACACAATAGTTCTCACCTTTTCATTATAAAATAAATTCATATTAATCACCATTTATAAGATTTTCCCTTACACAAAAAAAAAAAAATAAAAATCACTCATTTCAGTATGAGCTCACGGTTTAAGTACCACCAAAGTAGCAAGAAAACATCATGGGTTAATGTAGTATTAGTGAAAGCTATAGTTTCTTTAGATTATTGGGGCATGCTCAAAAAATTCTATCAACGAAATACTTGAGTCATGCAGAACTGCACCGTCCTAAAGAAATTATTTCGGTATAATGAAATGTTCTCCATGACAAAACAAGCCTTCCTCTTTTAAGTGTTAGAGGGCACATGAACTAACAAGTATATAGATCCAATATTTGTAAATCTATTTAAAAACAAAAAGAAAAAAACCCAAAGAAATTTACTCGTGAGGAGTGATATCAAAGTGTGAATAAAAAATAGTTAAAGAATTTATTTTTTCACGGAATGGAGTAAACTGACTTGTAGATGTTTCCTATTTATATGCCAAGGCACACAAGGTTGCATTAACATCAGCCTCTTCTGATCTTTTAAAGATTAAAAGACTTTACTTCAAATAACTATTTGGTCTTAATTAGTAAACTCTTTACTTTCTATGTATTAAACACTTTGAAAGATTAAAACCGAAACATATAAAGAAGATTTTAGTTTCTAAAAATTAACACAACCAGTTAGATTCAAAATATTAAATATTATCTTTTGAAATAAATTAAGTGAAATGCCAACACATGCATCAGAAAACAATCAATCAATAAAAAGGAATCAAAACGGAGAAAAGGGCTCTAGGAACATGTCGTGATTAGATGCAATGGAGAAAGAAACCAAACAAAATTAACAAAGATGGAGAGATTTACAATGGCTTCAGAGATGAAACGCGGTTGAGAAACAGGCCTCAAGAGAATGTGCAGAAAGTTGCAGAGGAAAACAACGAAGAAGAATCCCAACATATAAGCTGCAATCATAGCCACTTTCAATCCAGCTGCTTTGCAATCAGGTGACTGGTTCAGACTATCGTAGGTTGTTGTTCTGTTGCCACCATGATTACTGTCCATGATTTTGATAATTTTTTTGTTGGGTTTATCTTTTTGAAAGGTTTAAATCTAAAAAATGTAGTCCACAAATCAAAATGGTAACATTAATCTGACATGAATGAGGACTAAGAAATCCACCATAGCTGAAAGGAGTTTACAAGCAAATGATTTTTTTTTTTATTGTTTTTGGAAGAAAACAAGCAAAAGATCAGTTGCAGAGAATTAGTCCTCATGGCAGCCGAAGTTTTAGCTCAAGTGAAAGCCTCAGCCATAAATTTACTATTTGGAGTGAGTTGAAGTTTTATTTTATTTTTATTGTATGGTCATTTTTGCATTGTAAATTGAATCTAGATTAAGGTTACATCTTAATTTCCTAGAACTCGAAACTAAACTTTTATTTTTGTGAAAAAAATTTTGAGCTCGAAATAAATTTGAAGTCAAGAATTATAATACTTGAGCATTTCTCTAAATAATAGTGTTCATTTTTATTTCTTCTAAATAAAGTTAAACCAAAAACATATAGTTTACCTTATTACATTTTTCATTGAATATGCTTTTTCCCTTCCTAAAATATAGTAATGTTTGTTATAACAATTTAATTTAATAAACATTATTTTCACTTTAAAGTGAAACGATGCTTCCTAAGTTGGGAAAAAAAGTACACAAAACAATCGAGTGGAGTTGAACCAAAAAAACTTGAATAAAATTTTTTGCAAAGCACAATGTTTGATGTGTTCATTAGCTTATCAAAAAACTTTTATAACGGCTCTTGAATGGGTTCCGTTTCTTCAAAATACCTTGAGAAAAAGTTATGTAATTATTATTTCGTTATAAGAATGGATTATTTAAATAAAATGTTGAATATGGAAATTGTTTTTGTGGAATGACAACAAAATCACTCTTAAAAATGGTTTATACAATAAGAATAATATATATGTTAGTTTTTGATACTTTAACTCTTTTTCTTGTAGGTAGACCGTAGACTTGTAATTCAGAAATTTTTTTGAAAGATATAATTCAGATATTAGTTTTTCTCAATTTATAAAAATAAATATAAATAACAATGATATATTTTTAAATTTGTGACATTATAGACTATTTATTATTCACTACTAGTATATGTTTTCAGATATTAGTTTTTCTCAATTTATGTAAATAACTATAGTAATAACAACGATATTTTGTGACATTATAAACTATTTATCATTCACTACTTGTATATGTTTACACCGAAAATATGACCAACTTTTTATTCGGGATGAAAAAATTGAATAATTTATAATTACCCAATTTTTTTTTTAAAAAAAAGAAAATTGGAAGAAAAATAAAATTATTGTTTGGAATTAATTCAACTTTTGTAAAGACCATTGCCGTCCCAACTCCCAGCGGTTTTTTGAGCTCTTTCTTCCCGAATCTTCTTCGATCATAACAAGGAGTCAGCCATTTGGAGTTATCCTTCAGTCTAAGAAGGAAAATTCATAATATTCCACCCTGAAATTCACTCTTGATTATTAGTCAACACTGTCACTCTCTACTCCCAATCAAAATTTTTTTTCCATCTCTTAAATTCCATTTGCAGAAGAATTCAACATTGAAAGCTTTCCTCTTGGTAATCAACCTGAGATCCCAGTTAGTATCTTTCCGGCTTGTTTGTGCTAGTTTGTTTACTGGATTAAGGGCTTTAAGTAGTTTCACTAAGAGCCTTGTGTCAACATTTGGTGCTGATTCCACTGTTTTCGTCTTCTTTGGAGTTTTGCAGGGGCGGGGTTTTTGTTAAAGTTCCTATGCTAGTTGATTAATTTTAGGATTGAATTGGAATAGGGTTTTGGAACTGTTGTTCATCTGGGTTGTGAACGGGATCTGGAGTTATGGTGGAATTGGAGGAGCCCCAGAGTCCAGCAATGGGTAATTCTCTGAATTATGTTTTTAGTTCATTACAGCATTTTGATATTATTACCTGGTAAATATCAATTGAACTCTGTGGATACTATTATTCTTTTGCCCCCCTGAAGACTTATTTTTTGGTTTTTGGGGTTAGGTGGAGTGATTGGCCTTTCTGGTGTTGTTCTGTCGGGATGCATTATGAAAGATCATTGTTTTATGTGCATTTAGACCGTGATTAACTGTTAATTTGTGGATGCAATGATGACTTCGATTTGCCAATGCTTATTTCCTTCTCTTTTGGTTCGAGTTCTTTCTTAGTTATGTCACTGTGATTTTTGCAATGAAATTGGCAAACTGATTTTGGTCTAAAGTTACCTATGCATTTCACAATCTGTTACTTCAACCAGGAATTTCATTTGGCCCCTATTCTGTAATTCATTTTCCTGGTTTTGTTATTAAGCTGATCAGTTTCTAAGCTCTTAGTATCCTTGGATTTCATGGGGTTGGAAGTTGTTTTTCTGTATTGCTGTGCTAAATAGCCAGTCTTTGATTATCGAAGTTCATTATGCAGAATGATTATGTGGTAGTAGAAGTTCATTGTGGAACATGTAAGTGACACTGCTAGCATATTTGAGATTCGTGAAATGCAAATAATATTAAGATACTACGCTGACAGTTGTTTCTCCTGTAATTATCTGGTTGTTGTGTACTTGATCTAAAATGTATGTGCTGGGTGAAATACCACGAAATTGTAATATTTGACTCGTTTATTTCTTTTTGACAGCAATAAATAAAAGCTTAACTTTATCAATGTGAAAATGCCTTCAATCAAAGTACATTGCTGCTATATAATGGACAAGGAAGAATGACAAGAATTCCTTTTAAAATATATTATAGCTTTCTGTGGTTCATTACTTGCTGATAATTGGGAACACATGTGTTGCATGCATTTTTACTTGTCATTTTGGTTATATATATAGATAGATAGATATTAGCTAATGTTAAAGGCTGTCAAAAAAGACACAATTTTTTTTATTTCTGCCATGTAGAGTTGAAGAATGTGTTTGGTATCAATTTATAGAACATTTTGAATTCTGGTTTTGTAATATCTGTGCTATTGTTGCCTTTCTTTCTTTCTTCCATTCTTTTATTTCCAGTTTTTAGAAGATACGACTACATTAATTTGATCCCCATTCTCTCTGCATTCACATCCATGCATAGTGTACCTGGTTTGCTCTGCTGAAAGATGCACAGAACTTCCAGAACTTCTTTTGTTCTTCTTGTAGATCTAGAGCAAAGCTTTGTTCTATTTGTGTTTTTTGGGGTTGTGTCTGTCCATCTTTCCTTTTTATTAAACTGAGAAATGACAACAACTTCAATGTAATGAAGAGGGAGAATTCGACAGTGAAGTGGTATCTGAAGGTTCGTCTGTTGTGCGTGGGGACCCTCTCCAAGATGGTGATGGACCCCCCAAGGTTGATTCTGCAATCGAAGTACTCCATGAGAAAGTGAAAAAGCAAGTCATCAAGGAAGGCCATGGCCAAAAGCCATCCAAATACTCAACATGTTTTTGTAAGTTCTCCAACAACTTTAATAGTTTTTAACTTCTTTTCCTTCATGCGGTTGAACTCTGTTGGCAATTTCTTTGCATGAAGTTCAGTACTTTTGCTGTGTTATTTTTTGTTATCACAATTTCCTTCTAGAACCATGCTGAGTAGTGTTTCTGATTGGCAGTGCCAATTTCACCTAGGTGTAACCTTCTAGGCTTCTAGCCTAATTCTGAGCTCAAGGGGGCCTGCTTTAGATGATACAGATCTTGTAATCAATATTAGCGTGCCAAAAATTTTTGACCCATTTGTCAAGTTTCCTTGGAATATGTATACGAATTGATTTCTGGTAGGTTCTCTTTAGATGCATGACAAAGATTTGAAAGTGTAAATAAGTATTGGAATTGGACAAGGCTGACTAATGGAAGTTTTGATTGATTCATTGGTTATTCTAAGTGTTGGATATAATGCAGTTCCAGTTTACAGATCTGATTGTTCGCATCAAATATTGGAATTGGACACCTTTCTGGTATAGAAAGGATGTTTCTTGTCAGGATGAATCTTATATTGCTTACTCAATAAAACAACTGACTGGATGGTTGCTGATTAGGCCTGCGTCTTCAAAATATTTTCTTGTGATTGTTTTAGCAAGAAATGAAAGTATTTGTCTTGGTTATGTAAACATTTTGAGATCATGAAACAATTCTTGAAGATTTTCCTTCATGTAATTTTTCCACTCGGAAAAAAATTAATGGAGCAACAATGCCTGGTAAAAAAATCCAGAGAAAGAAGTTCTTTTGAGAGTTCCAATTAGATTTTAAATCGCAATGTGCTGTTCTTTCAGTGTCATATGGACTAACACGGGAGCTCAATTCTGAGTCAAGTGAATGAATGTCTGCAATGTGCAACAACAAACCCCCTTCCCCTTCCCCCTGCTTCCACCCAGTAGTTATTACTAAAATGATTTTGAAGCAATCATTTTGAATTGTGCATAACTAGGCCATTCACCATGACAACATTTTCATCTCAAGAAATCTTAACAGTATAAAGCATCAGAGCTGAGTTTTTCTGCCCGAATCCAAATTTTAATACTGAATGGTACACATCAATCTTTCAGACCAGTTTCCATAGACTGAATTTTAAAAGTGATTCATGTTTGACAAATGTCTTCATTATATTGACATTGTGAAGGCTGACTAAGTTCTTGTCTGTGAGTTTGCATATGTTTTCTCTCACTTTTTTTGGGTTTAGGGGTGGTGGGGTAGGGGCTTGGATGTTGGTTGTTGATCTTGCTTTACTATTACTGAACTGTTTTACTACATAACTATTTTCTGGCAGTGCACTACAGAGCATGGACCGAAAGCACTAAGCACAAGTTTGAAGATACATGGCAAGAACAACAACCTTTCGAGTTGATCTTGGGCAAAGGTGCTTCCGAGTTTACCTGTTCAAGTTTAGTTTTGGTTTGGATATTCTTTGCCAAGTCATAAACCATTTGTTTCCTGCTCTAAGATCTATAATTGCAGGAGGTCATTTAGTTGCTGTCTTTTAAATCATCATAATCTGCCTTAAGAATCTATTGGCGCTTATTTGTGTTTACTAAACCATTCTACATACTAGATATATTATTTACTCTAAATAATCATTTAGCGGATATGGACCAATTTCAAATTGTGGTTTCTATGTTTTTCTCTGTTGTAAACTTGTGTAGGTTTTGTGTGATGCACAGTACTCTTCTGCATGTTGTTCACGCACAGATGTTATTCACCGTCATTAAAAATAGATTTTAGGGACTTCTTTAGATAGGTTGGTATAACTCTAAGAATACTAGGACTGAGAACTTAGGTATATTTGTAGGGTACTGAAAATTATCTATCAGTCCTTTCTGAAATTCACAGATCAGGACCTTCTAAGACAGCTCCCTGAAGGAAAAGTTTAAGCACACAACCCTAGAATTATACAAAACTTAAGGGTTCTTTTTTTTTTTTGGTTGAACTCATCTACCAAATCTCCTCTCAAAGAGATACATTGACTGAACATGAAACCAGTTTAGCTAATGAACTGCCATTTATTTTTAAAGAAAGAAGTTCCTCGACTCAACTGCGAAAAGGTAATCTTTTCCCTAATAAAACATGTTAACAAAGATCGAAATTTAAAATGTAGATTCAGGAAATTTCTTTAAAGCAGCGATTCTTCTGAAATATCCTCGAAAACTTAAGATTGGATATTACTAAAAGAACCCAAATGACTTGAATAATAGTTTGAGTCACGTATCAGACATCTTGGCTTCCTTCATGGATCCTATGTAGTTTGCACGCAATTAAGGAGAGCTTCAACTGTGGATTTGCTTGATTTATTTTCTGTTGTCTAGATGCCATCTATGTGATGAGTAAATCATTAAATTTGGATTCGGGACATCCTAAATCATTATGTTTCCATTTTGGTTCTCTGCTATTTATGATTACCAAACATTTGTTCTTCTGTCACAGAGAAAAAAGAAATGACGGGCTTGGCAATTGGAGTTGCTGGCATGACATCTGGTGAGCGTGCCCTGTTGCATATTGGTTGGGAGCTGGCTTATGGAGAAGAAGGAAACTTTTCCTTTCCAAATGTTCCACCTAAGGCAGATATTTTGTACGAAGTCGAGCTGATTGGTTTTGATGAGACGAAAGAGGTATGTCTTTCAGCTGAACTCTGATAATACGGCTTTTTGCTTGATATTTGTGGCCTACCAATATGATGCACTTTTGTGTTGCTAACTTTTGGTTGATACTTTTGAAGGGAAAATCTCGTGGAGATATGACTGTGGAAGAAAGAATAGGGGCTGCAGATCGAAGAAAGATGGATGGAAATGCTTTGTTTAAAGAGGAGAAATTGGAGGAGGCTATGCAACAGTATGAAATGGTAATGCTGCTGTTCTTCTAGTTGATGTTTTTAGTAGTAGATCATTAGTACCAATAACTACTATATGACATATTGAAGTCTTGTGTGTGACTTTATCAGGCAATTGCATATATGGGAGATGATTTTATGTTTCAATTGTTCGGCAAATATAGAGATATGGCTTTGGCAGTTAAAAACCCTTGCCACCTTAACATGGCAGCTTGCCTAATAAAGCTCAAACGATATGACGAAGCCATTGGGCATTGCAGCCTAGTAAGTGCAAAGTTTCTGAAAATTCAACTTCCCGCTTATTGGGCATTCAATTAAACTTTACTGTGGTATAATCTGCAATATGAAAGTTTTGCTTGTCATTTGCTGTTTCCATACTTTTTACTCCTGATATTTGGAAAACTTATCTAACTGCTGTCAAATTTCATTCTGATCTACACAATTCTTTCTGAGCATCTGTTGTACCAATGAATGACCAAGTTGTTTGCTTCATTATTCTCTCTCTATGTTGACCGAATGTTCACATTGTTGCAAATATAAATAGAAGATTGAGTTCAAACTTTTGAAAAGAATTTAATGATTTTTACGGACTTGCTTGACTGAATTTTTAATTCAATAGGTTCTATCCGAGGATGAAAACAACGTCAAAGCATTGTTTAGACGAGGGAAAGCCAGAGCAGAACTTGGGCAGACTGATGCGGCAAGAGAAGATTTTCAGAAGGCACGAAAGTTTGCACCTGAAGATAAAGCAATTGCAAAAGAATTACGTCTGCTCGCAGAACATGACAAAGCTGTTTACCAAAAACAAAAGGAGCTATATAAAGGGTTATTTGGACCAAGACCGGAGCCGAAACAGACGAAGACCAATATCCTAGTTTTAATATGGCAATGGCTTGTGTCTTTATTCCATCGCCTTTTCAGGCGTGAAAGTCTGAAGTCTGATTGAATTTTTTGTGTATCAAGTCAATAACACCTGTGAGTGAACCCTTAACCTTTAATGCTGTGTGATCTCCAATACTCTGTACTCCATACGTGTAATTCTCAATTTTTGGTTCATGTCTATTTCTTGCCCATATGTTAGTGCAGAATATACTAATAAAACAATTGCAGGAAAGCTTCTCATCTCATGTAAATTCCTCCAACTGTCAGGGTTTCTTGTCATAGCTGTTAAGTCTTAAGACCGTTCAAAAGTAACACAGGCTGCCTTTCTTTCGGGTTATTATTAGTTTATTCTTTTTGTTCTTCCGCATGCATGGAAGAACCGGTGGATATGTTGAAAGTAACTGTTGGTAAAAGAAATGGATATACTTGGCACCAGAAAGTAGTTCTGGATGATCTAGTTAATCTTGCATTCTTTTGGCAAAAAGCCATAGCCTAATCATGTCAGCATTTCGATACATTTGTGCTTTTGTCTCAGCCGTGTGGCTCTTCTCTTGTTTCATTTCCTGCAATAATCGAACTGCTGCTGCTGCTAATCGAGCTACTGTACTTAGCGGTGAAAAGGAACCAAATGCAATCAATAGAAACAATCTCAGTGATATGACTTCCATACAAGAAGGCGTAATGATGTGTGGACATTGTCCTCTATTATTGATATAACACTGACTTTTTTATTTACAGCAGCGGAAACAACTACCAAGATTCTACATACCCTGTTGTGTACAACATGAAGTTATACAAGCCCTGGAAGAAAATAATTACTAGTAAGAATATGAAGATGAGGTTCTGTCTACCTAAATCTACCAAGGCAATTTGGTGATGGAGGTCCAAGCACAGTAAGCACAAACAAGCTTCTGAGATATATACACATACAGAGCAAATGACAAGCACATATATGTCAAATCTTTCCAATCACCCTTCTGCTTTGGACTCAGATTCTCCCTCAATTCCTTCCCAAACTTGTCTACACTCATCATCATAACCTGATGATGACGCAAAGTTGTCTTTTTTACCGTCTTTTCTTCCTTTGCAACTTGATGATCCTCTGCATCTACTGGATTGCTGGATGACGATCCTCTGCTTCGGCAAGAAACGGAGATGGAAGTTCTGTGATCATTCTTTTGTGGGATTTTTGGGGTTCTTGAAGAACTGGTTTTGGTTTGGAAGCAATGACAAATCTGAATTGCAGCCATATGGGGGAATGGTTATGATCCCTTTTTTGTTGACAAGATATTTTCAGGAGGTTATGAGTTCTTCTTGTAAACCTACTAGATAAGGTGAATCACACTGTGAGTGCGTTTTAGTATGAGGTCCAAATTCATAGAAAATTTTGCTGGATATTAAGGGGTTAATTTTGGATTTTCGGCCTTCTTTTCAAATATAAAATGAAAGAATTTTTTTTTGTCTATAAAGTAAGCATTCCAAAATCCAAGCTATGTATATACATATAAAGTAGGGAAACTTCATTCTTTCTTACTTTTTACCAAAAAAAAAAACATCATTCTTACTCTAAATTTTCTTTTTATTCACTCCATGTATTCTTATTTAAAGATGTGAATTATCTGATATCATCAGCAAAACGGATTGCAAAACAATCTCTATAACCATTTCTTCGTTTTCAAAGTAACAATTTCATTTTTGCCTTCAAAACAAAGAATTTGCTTTCGAGTAACAGCATCATTACTATGATAAAAGATAAAACGAACATGATCTCCTCTTCTTCTTCTTCTTTAAATTATCAAAAAATAACTCATTTTATTATTAGACTCACAAACTCGTATTGGAACTGTACTTTAGTAAAGAAACAAATTACTTTGTTCCAATAAAAAAAAAGAAATTGTTATTCCTTGTTATGCATAATCTGGTTTGCGTTACGTGTAGATCTTCCGCCAAGTAAAATATACATTTCGAGCATAGTGAACATAATAATTCATAGATTACTCTTAAGAATTTTTTAATTTTTTTAGTTTCACGGGACTTTCTATTAATTTAAGACAAAAAAACGAATATTTTTGTCGATTTTTTTTTCTCCCTTATGTTTGAATTTCAAATACTTTTTACACTTATAACATTCATTTTTGTCTGAACAAGATTTTCTTTTTCTTTTTTTTTATATTTTTATCTCCAAAGTTCATCACTATCAAAAAAAAAAGAAAATGATTCTCCGAACGAAATTTTCCTAACGAACATTCACGAATCTAATGTGGACCACTGAGATGGTTGGCCCCTCTAATATTTTGAATCCTGATAGACTCAACAACATAGTTTTAACGAAATCTTCACGACCTTATGTGGCTCTTCCACGTCAGTTCCTTTTCTTTGTTCTTCTTTTGCTTTTAATCGATGTTTTGGGGGAAAGTCTTACTCTAAACCACGATTTCATCAAGTTCTATATGAACTATATGTATTGTAAACAAGAAGTTAAAAAATCAAACCTCATTGGTAATCAATACAATCAGGTGCCATTTGGGGAAAAAAGTTCTGAGACAAAAATCAGAATCAAACCTTGATTGATAAAAATGAATTTCAAATTATCTTTCTTTGAAAATGAAATTAAAAAAATTTCATTAATTTCAACCAACACAAAAATTGTGCTTAAAATAACAAACCACCAAACTAAAATTTCTTTATTTCATCCACTCATTCATTCATCCTTAATGCATCAAGGATAAAATAGATTAAATCTAAGATACTCTGCAAAGTCGAATCTTAACATCATCATTATGCCCACTTAGTTAAAACCATGAAAGAGCAGAGTAGAATCTGTTTCTGCTCATTTTTCTTCTAATTCACCATAAAGAATCGAGGCATACGCAGATCCTGATAGTTGATGGTTAGGAAAAGAGAGAAGGATCTAAGCAATCAAAGGAAAATAGGAGAAAGAAGAAGGGAGGAAAAAGAATTATTTTCTGAGAAAGGAGATAAACAAAAGATGAAGGGAAACGGGACGGCGGCAGGGAGGAGGAGAAGAGTGAAGAGAGCTAGAAAGAAAGAAGTGAAGAAAATTGGGACTTAGGAGAGAGAGATGGAAACTTTCCCCCAAAACACCGATTAAAAAAAAAGAAGAAGAAGAAAGAAAAGGAACTGACGTGGAGGAGCCACGTAAGGTCGTGAAGATTTCGTTACAACTATGTCGTTGAGTAGAGCACGAGTCAGGATGTGGAAGTTTTAGTTTTTGCTCTTCCCGTATGTAGAAGTTTCACTCTCCCTTTATAGGGTATTGCTCTTCCGTATGGAAGTTTTAGTTCATCCCATTTAGGAGAGCTTTTTTCTTTAGATATAGTTTTAGTAGGTTTTCTTCAGCAGATCTGATCCAGAAGAAGAAGATCCACAGCTTTTTGAAGAAATTGAAGAAGGATATGAGGTTAAATGATTTTGCAAATGAAGGATCTATATAGATCTGAGACTTCTAGCCATATAGATCTAAATTATCGATTTGGATATGGAATTTTAGTCCCTTCTGAGCGATGTTTGGATTTCATTTGTAAAAGTGTATTGTTATCCTCTTTGTATTTCTTGAGTTCTTGAAATCTTCTTACTCTGTCATTAGAAATATTGCTGCAATTTAGCCAGTTTAGCTTAGCTTAGGATTAAACACAGTGTTGGGATTGTCCATCTCTTCTTCTGTGGCTAGGTATAGCGCGTAAGACAAATTGTAATATCTTAACCGTAGGTTGTTGTAGCTTAACACACTGTAGTTGTACTTGCTTATTTTCTTTATGTATGATTATCGCTTTTGACCAAAAAAAAAAAAAAATCTAGCACGAGTCAGGACTAAAAAAAAAGTTTACCAAGTACTCCCTACATTCTAAAATAAGTGTCGTTTTAGCAAAATGGAGAAATTCCAAAATAAGTGTCGTTCTCACATTTCAATGCACTTTTTGTCAAAAGTTTCCAAAATTACCTTCAAAAGAGTTGATGCTATTGGTGGACAAATTTATAATGATGTTGGTTGAGGATATTCAAGTAATTTTATTACCCTATTTAAGAGTTTCTTAAATTATGTGCAAAATATAGGACGACACTTATTTTGGAATGGAGGGAGTACTATTACTGTACCACCACCAACAAATGACGTGGAAAGGAAAGTCAAACGTTCAAACCAACGTTGACTAAAAAGAGTCTGTGCTAACGTGCGCCGGAATGCGCACTAATCTGTCAGCCATGGCCACTCAAATACTTTTCCAACTTCCCAAAGCCAAGGGACCCCCTCTCTTGACCTCTGCGCTTCTACGCACTTGGCGTGTCAAACTCTCTCTCTTTCCTTCTCTCTCTGCAGTTGTTATAGCTTCGTTGACTGATTTAATTTACATTAATGCCTCATTTTCCTCTTTCCTCATTCTTTATCCTTTTTCTTCGTTGAAAATAATAAAACATATATTATCAGATTCGTTGCCTTCCAGAAACGTTTTGTGTTCGATCGGGAAATCTTCGCCGGCCGGCATCGGGGAGCTGTTTTGAGGTGAACCCATCTTGTAATTTCCAGCTGGGTCTTCCGAATCTGTGTGTTTTGTTGTAGAAAGATTCAATCTTGGTGTTTTCCCAGCTGAGGAAAAGCACGATTTGAAGAGATAAGGGTTTACGAGGTTTTTTCTTTTTCTTTTTTTTTTGGGATTGAAATGCTAATCGACAGCTGTTGTTTTCTCTTCCTACCTTGTAAGTTTTTGGCTGTTGAGATCTGTATTTGATGCTGATGGAAGCTTTTGTTTATCTGGGAATTCCAGCTTTTCTTTTTCCCCTATCTTGAGCTCCATGTAGATTGGGTTTCTTTTTTTCCACTTTTGCTGCCGCTTTTCAACACTTGATTGAATTTGAGTTGTCACAACTTGTAGTTCGCTTCTGTAGTTAGATGAAATAAAGTTTTGATATTTATGCTTCTCCGGGAGAGTTTGATGCATTAGAGTCTGGTTTTGAGCTGGTTTTATATGGGTTCTGGTAAAGATTTGATAAGATTAGCAGGTCTTTTCTTGTTGTCGTGAAACGTTCAGAGTGTTTCCTGACACAAACGATATGAAGAGATTGAGGTCAAGTGAGGATCTCGACTCATTTGGGGAAAAGGGTGTGTGCAAAGATTGGGGGAGGAGGGAGGATGATTCGAGTTCACACAGGTCGTTGATGCATCGGAACTCTTATTACAAGTTAGAGACTGCAAGAAAGGGTTTATCTTCTTCATCTTCTAGGTATGATAGGGTAGAAGATGATCGTGATAGTTCAAGACCTGCTAGGAAACGATCTGATTATGATGTGGATAGTTATGACAGGAGGAAGAGTTATGATCGGTACCGTGAAGGTACCTCCGAGAAAGGGATTTCAAGCTCCTCCCCTAGGAGTGGATACAGTGACAGGATTCATCGGTCTGAAAGCTTTTCAGGGCTGAGAAGAGATGTTCCAAAGGGATTTCGATCAGAGAGGGATAGGTCTCGACGAGAAGGAAGTGTCTCATCGTGGCGTAAGTTTGGTCAAGGGAAAGATGGTGACGATGGTAGTAGGAGCTATAATGATTCTGGTAAAAGCAGCAGACTGGAGTCGGATGATGCTTTGAAGATTAAGTCTCCTAGGATGTCAAAGGATGTAAAGTCGCCTCCTTGGTCGAAGGACTCTGGTAGCGAGCAGTCCAAGAGTATTGAAGTTAAGAGAAGTGAGGAGATGCCCGTGGAGAGCAGTGGAAACAATAGTGAAATGGAAGAAGGGGAGCTTGAACCCGATCCTCAGCCCCTCCCTCTGAACAAGAACTCAACTGAGGATCAAGCATCTGATAGAATTCAATCTTCTATGATGGAGCATGAGCAACAAGACCTTTTGGAGGAGAAGGGTAAATCCAAGTCTGCAGAAAATATCGAGTCCAGTAAAGAGTCTCGACAAGATGTGCGAGAGGAAGGTAGGTCCTCGGACAGCTTTCATGCATCCTCAAAGGAAGGTAATGAGCTGGCAGAGTGTCAGGATGTAAGCCACTTGAGGAATGATGGTGGTGATGAAAATGAAACCGCTGCAGATAGTCGTGGTAGCAAACAAGAAAATGTTTCAAGAGCAACTATGACTTATAAGGAGGAAATCAGTGAGTCACAAACTCTCGAAGAGAAAGGAAGAGAACTCAAAACAAATGAGGGTGATAATCCAGAACAGGATAATAAGCTTTCTGAGGGAACTGGAGAATGTTTGGCTATTACTGCACCTGTTCTGGAGGAAATAAATGAAAATCTTAAAGATAAGGGCAAGACTGTGGCTCTTCCAGCTTCTAATTGCACTCCTTTAACTGATCAGTTTAAGACTGTAACTGAGTTGAGAGGTCCATTGACCAATGGAGACAGCTACCAGGAGGGAACAAGTACAAGGGGTTTGGATCTTTTCAGGAGGGATCCTCTTAGGACAATTGAAAAAGAATTACAGTGGAGTAGCAGCAAGCCTAAAGATGAGAAGCTTACCCTTGATCTATCTCTTAGCCTGCCAAATGTTCTTCTGCCTATTGACTCTCACAATACTGCACAGGCCCCTGCTTCTCCAAGTCGTGGGAGGAGTATTCAATCATTTCATAGTTCATTTCGCACAGATTCTGAGGGTTTTACTGCATCAATGTCTTTCTCAGGTTCACAGTACTTCTCCCACAACCCCAGCTGTTCTCTAACCCACGAAGCATTTGATAATGAGCAGTCGGTTAAAAGCCGGCCCTTATTTCAGGGAGTTGACTGGCAAGCTCTCTCATCTGGAGAGATGAAACATAAAGAGCTTCCACCTATTGTTCAAAAACTATTGGCGGAGGAAAATGGTCTACATCAACAAAATCAAGCTTCCCTAGGAAACTCTAGTAGTCAAGCTATGGCACAGCCAAAGATAACTGTTGAGGGAAGTGCTAGAACTCCGGTTTCATTGGAGCGACACCTGAGCTTCAGTAAACAGTATTCTGGAGGGCCTTCTCAGCTGCCAAATGAAATTCGATCACTTTCTCAGGGAGTTGGTTCTCAGGAAACTGGAGCAGGATTTCTTAGAGAGAAGAAACAGGCTCTGAGAGAAAAAGGTGGTGGCAGTTTGTGCAAGAGCATCAACCAAGAAGGAAGAGAGCAGCAATTGAATATTGGAGCTGATCTTTTTGAGTCAGTTATGACCAGTATACTTTCCGAATCACTGAATATGGTATCTCAAAGGTTCAGTGAGATGTCATTGCAGCAGATCACTTTTTTGAAGGACTCTGTCCATGATTTCATCCAGAGTCCCAGTGGGCATCGGCAGCTTATTGCTTTTCAGAAAGCATTACAAAGAAGATCAAACATTACCTTGGAGATGCTACTTAAGTTACATCAATCTCTTCTTGAGATCTTGGTGGCTTTGAAAACTGGTTTAGCAGAATATCTTCACAAGGCTGATATAACTCCGTCTAGTCTGGCTGAGATATTTCTAAACCTGAGATGTAGGAATCCAAATTGCCAGAGTCTCTTACCAGTTGATGAGTGTGATTGCAGAATTTGTGCACAAAAGAATGGTTTCTGCCGGGAGTGCATGTGTCTCGTGTGTTCAAAGTTTGATATGGCTTCTAATACCTGTAGCTGGGTGGGATGTGATGTGTGTTTACACTGGTGTCATGCAGAGTGTGGGTTGCGGGAATCTTATATTAGAAATGGTCGAAGTGCCACTGGATCTGATTCTACAACAGAGATGCAATTCCATTGTGTTGCCTGCAATCATCCTTCCGAGATGTTTGGTTTTGTGAAGGAGGTATTTCAAAATTTTGCGAAGGACTGGACTGCAGAGAATCTGTCGAGGGAACTGGAACATGTTAGGAGAATCTTTTCTGCCAGTGAGGATTTAAGAGGAAAACAATTGCACAAGGTGGTGATTCAGATGCTTTTGAAGTTAGAAAATAAAGTTAATGTTCAGGAAGTTAAACAATACATCATGAGCTTTCTTACCGGTAAGAACTCCATTATGAGATCAGTAGATTTCTTACATCTTACATCCTGCTGTATGAACTTGCGTTTAATTTTTTGTCCCTTAAGGAATGAAATCGTTGGGGTTATCACTGCTGTCAAGGCCAATCTGCTCCCTGTTTCTAAACTTGTTATCATCTTTTGTCTGTAGCAAAAAATATGAACTTATAGCGTTGGTTCACTTATTAGTTCTTTGAGTTACTTAGCTTTGTGTATGGATGTGAATGATCACAAACTGCAACTCGCATGGCCTACTTATCCTTGTTGTTGTGACGAACAAGTTTGGAATGCCACAGTTTATTCCAAGTGGCAAGTGCCTGCACTGCTTTATAGTTTAAAAATAACCACATTGAAAGCAAATACTGAAAGGTTTTTGCAGAATGGAATGATAAAAATTGGCTGGTTTATTTGTTTGGATGTCTTTTTGGGAGCATTTTGTTTCTCCATTTTTACTCGTGTATGCCACAACTATCTTTATGTCCTGAAGTTAATGATACTTCCCTCAGAATCAAATTAAAAATGTGTATCACTTCAATTTTGTGTGTGTAGATGTGGTTTTTTTCTACTTTTTTCTTCTTGCAAGTGACCTACGTTGTAGTGGGGTTGTTGCCGAAAGTATCTGACTAATTGCTGCTTGATTCTTTACCTTCTATATTGTAGTAATATTAACTCTAGTTACTTTGCATTTTCCTCCCTCAGCCTGTATATTTTTGTTCATGCCATAATCTGGCTTCTTCTGTTACGCTTTGCTTAGCGTTAGCCATCTATCATATGATTTTGATCATCTCATGGCTTTTTTACTGTATAATCTCATGTGATTCATATTCTTCTTTCTATTCATTAACTTGTGAGAAGAATGAGGGAAACAACTATCGCCCCTTGCCGTGAAGTTTATAAGCAAATGTTCTGGCTTTCCTATTTGCATATCTCCTTTGGTGTCCCTTGTTTGTTTATTTGAATATTATATTTATATTTTTATTCTGACTAGCCAGCCTAACGTGACCTTTGTAACAATCTTATAGAACTCCCTTGCCTAGATTTAATCTGATATACATTAACCAACCGACTTTTGCAACGGTTCTTACTGACTCTTTCTGTATTTTTTGCCTAAAATTCCATTTGTTGTGAGTGACGTTGGATTCACTTACAAAAAAAAGGTCTATTTAGTAGATGCATATATGAATTTTCATTCTTCTGTCTTCTTCCCTTTATATTAGTTCTCTATGCTGTGAACCCTTTTTCTCGTGGGGGTGGGGGGGGTGGGGGGTAAAAATGTTGAACTTTATTGTTTCACAAAACTGCTGGAGCTTTACAGCTTTCTTTCTGATATGTTTCATGGATTTACAAGACATAGGGCGAATCCCTAAATTTTCTAGATATCGAATGTTGAAATTAATACCTTTTCTTCAATGAAACTGAATATTCCGAGTCACTTCCTTCTTAGTATTTGCCACTTTTTGCTCCCGTCATGTTATGCTGTCCTGCTGTGAACTTATATTGATGCACTAGGATTCACTAAAGAAAAGAGCCGCCTTTTTTATTTGGAATCTCTCTCTTAAAATTCCACTAATTATATGTTAGCCTTCTTCCATTTTAAACCAATCATTGGCTTTCCTTGCCCATGTACAGTTTTTCTGACTTGTGTGTTCTGCCCATAAATGCAGATAGTGATTCCTTGAATCGTACCAACTCTACTTTAGTGAAGGTGGAATTGTCCCCAAGGAATGATGGGAAGTCTAATGGTGTTGCTGGAAGCAGTCAGGAAGTCCAATGGCCTAAGTCTGTTACATTTGATAGAACTTCTCAACTTGATAAATCAGGGGGTTTATTTCCAAGTTTGGACGGTAGTAGAAATAGTAAGGAGAGTGAAAGAAATGATATGCAAGTGAGCATACCCAAGGAACACGGATTTGATGAATTGGAGAGCATTGTTAGAATCAAACATGCTGAATCGAAAATGTTTCAAGCACGTGCTGATGATGCAAGAAGAGAAGCTGCAGCTTTAAAGCGTATTGCTACCACAAAAAGTGAAAGAATTGAAGAAGAATACACGAGCCGAATCGCCAAGTTGCGTTTGGCTGATGCTGAAGAAATGCGTAAACAGAAGATCGAAGAGCTCCAGGCACTTGAAAGAGCTTTCCAGGATTACTTCCACTTGAAGATGAGAATGGAAACTGATATCAAAGATCTGCTTTTGAAGATGGATGCCACTAGACGGAACCTGAACTTGTAATGTGTAGACTTCGCTATCAATCTCTATTGTTGTAGGTTCATCACTCCCATTACTTTGTTTTGATTTCTAGCTGTAGCTGTTGCTAACCAGGATCTCTGTACAGACACTACCCATCTCTGCCCACATTAGTACAAATATTCTTGGTTACAGAAAGGCTTTGATTATCCAATTAGTAAGGTTAGATATGAAGTTTAATCATTAGTCAATGCACTTTGCATTTACTTCAGCTCTTCATGGCATGAAACAATGGAAGTGTTCGTCCTACTTTATGTTGCTTTTTCTGCATCAGGTGTTTAACTTAGAAAGAAGACAAATTGTGTTATACTTCATCTTGTTTTAACAGATCTGCTGTTATGTCTTCCAGTTGTTCACTCTGATGAAAATTTCGACTCAAATTAACAGATCTGCTCTCTCAATAGTGAGTGATCAAATGTGGTTTGATCGTTGAAACAAGATAAAGTTGGAGACTAGAACAGCACTTATTAAACATTTCTTACACTTGTAGTTAATTTGGTCCAGGCTACCTGACATTAATGATTTATTAGATTACAAGTTATACTAGTATCTTATCAAAGAATCAAGCTAGAAAAATACTCATGTTAATGAATCAAAAATTGTAGTTCTAGCCGATGATTTGCAGAAATGTAATAACCAAACGCCAAACCCAGGAAACCACTTTGTAACAAGATTTCGGCCAGAATTCATGAGCATCAACAGTATCTGGTAAAATGAGCATCAACAGAATTCATGGCCAAACTTTTCAAAAATCATTGTGGGTGGTTCATCACAAGAATTCTCAAGGTCAATCAACACTTTGCATCAAAAAATGCGAATGATAAGCACAACACATGCCAGAAAACATCACAAAAGAGAAAGAGCACACGTAAATGGAAGCAAAAGCTAATATAGCCTGAGACAATATTCAACAAATCACCCATTGTAAGATGACTACAGTTTCCAGTTTTTCCACACTGCCATTCTAGTGAAAGTAAGAGAAAAGACTGTTTCCTCATCTCCTACAAGAATAAGGTAGAAGTCAGGAGCATGCAAACGAGATGTTAAGCCGCAAGCTGATTACAATAACACTACAGAAACTAGTTAGTTTATCTTCCACTGCTGAAAGTTTGTGTATCACTCGGAGTCATCGTCTTCTACGTTGAAGTCCGAGTCATTCGAGATTACATCCTCTTCAGATTCACTCACGACGTATACAGCTTTACCACGACCCCCGGCCCTCTGTGGTCTGGTTCTTGGAGCGAACAACTGAGCAGATTCATCTGTGCTCCCTGAACCAGAAGCAGAAGCAGGGTGTTCTTCTATTTCCTGACTTACGTTTCCCAACTTAGAGCCACTCTTTTTGTTGAATGGTGATGGTCTCATTCTTCTCACTTTCTTCTCGGGCGAAACATCAGAACTCTCCGCAGGCTTCAAAACCTCAGTTATTAGCTTCTGGCCTACAAGCTGAGTTTTCTTAGCCACAGGTCCTCTTTTCTTAGTAGCAGCTGCAGGAGGCTTTACTGCTTTGGTGTTAGCTGGTTTCTTCCTTCCTTTCTCTTTTGAAGCCACCTCCACACCTAAGTCAAAGTCTTCATCATCGCTGACCTCAATCTCATCCTCATCATCATCAGAAATCTGTGTAACACTTGTTAAAGGCTTCCTGGTGATAGCTCTTTTGCTGGGTTCTCTTCTCTGAACTTCATTCACTTTTGTTGAAGACAAATCATTAACAAGGACACATGTTATCAAACTATAAGTAAATAATTTACCTGACAAAAGAAGAACTTGAGAGAAAAATATGTGGAAGTAAAGCAGCTGAGAAAATTTACCTTCTAGTTCAGGGGAAGAAGACCCAAGGTTGAAGGCTTGAAGTCTGTCTTTTAGTTCAGGTATTTGATCTTCTTCATCAGATGCATTGGAGGATTTTACCTGCTCATTACAATTATGAAAACAAAAACATGGTAAACAGATAATAGTGTCGGCATTGTATGATCTTTTTCCAGTTTTTCACTGTAGATTTATGCATATTGTGTTCTGATCCTGACCTTTCTAGCAGGTTTCTTCGGGTCTGCTTTGCCTTTTCCCTTGGGTACCTCAGGAACAGTATCTGCAAAGCATTTCATAAACTCCCAAAATTTAGGACACCAATTGAAGGTGAAGATGAGAAGATAACATCTATAAAACATAACACTCACCTGTCTCCATGGTTGAATTTTCTGATATTTCCATGGGTTCTTGTCTGTCTTTTCGTTCAGGCATATCATCATCATCTTCTTCATCCTTCAGTTGTACAGTGGAAGATTTTCCCTGCATATTACAATTGTGAAAATAAGAACATAGTAAACAGATAATAGTGTTGCCATTATACAATCTTTTTCCAGTTTTCAATTGTAGATTACGCATACTGTGTTCTGATCCTGACCTTTCTAGCAGGTTTCTTTGGACCTGCTTTGCCTTTTGCCTTCGGTACCTCAGGAATACCAACTGCAAAGCATTTTATAAACTTTCAAATTAAGATGCCAGCTGAAGGTGAAGATGAGAAGATAACAGCTATAAAACCTAAAAATTTCTCACCTGTCTCCATGGCTGAATTTTCTGAAATTTCCATGGGTTCAGCGGTTGGCTCCTTTTTGCTAACCTTCTTGGTATACTTCCGGGGAGCTTTTTGAGCCTGCCGACCTTTCATTGCTTTCTCCCTCATCTTGTCTCCTGCCTTCTTTGCATTGTAATATCCTTCATCTTCTGCCTGAATTCACATGGTTCAAATTAATGTATGCATGAATAATACTTTCTCATTTACAAATAGTAAATTACAGAAGCATGTAAAAGTTGGGAGTTTTGCAGTTTTTCCATACATCAAGTTGTTCGTCAAGAGCCTCAAGATCCTTTATCCACAGATCTTTTGGGGGTGTATTTCTCAAATCATCCAGGTTCTTCTGAGCCTTCTTTCTCTCATCGCAGAGCTCTTCATATTTCTCTTCGGTTAGGGTCCCTATAGACATGGAGAGCAAATAGTCATAATCACCTGCCCCACCAACTTCTTTGCTGTTGTCTACTTCCGACTTCTCTTCTGTTTCTTCCTCTGTTTCTTCCGTTTCCCCAGCAACAGCTACTTCATCACTCTTTTTCTTAGGGAAAGGGGTGAAACCTTTTTCTTTCAGTTCTACGAACAGATCTGCTTTTCTTCTCTTGCTCACAATGATTGAACCTTCCAATACTTCTCGGATGAATCGGACTTTGTTTTGTAGCTTCAGTAACTCCATCTGCAGCTTACCCAAAAGGAACATCTGCAAAAGATATGGAGAGCAATGGTTATAGCACCACTCACATCGTCCTCAACAAACTAAAGGAAAAACTTCAAAATGCTAATATTTTGGCATTGAGGGCACTGAAGAGCTTACCTTTCTTTTGTCATAATACTCGAGCCTTAAATGGAAGAAATCCTCCAGAACTGCATGTTAGAGAGATTCATGAGAAGCAACCATAGGAAATGCAAACTCAAATCACTGGAAATTCATAATTGCGACATGTCCAATCAAATATTCACCCATTTTGAGTAATTCATAGGAAGTGAAAATACATACTCTGTTCGGGGGTGTCATATTTCTTGATAACACCACGTGAGTCAAACAGGTGCATGTTGCTAGTGTTAATTGTGGTGGTAAGCTTGAATTTCTTAAGTAAACCCCCGTCCTCTTCTTTGGCCTTTCTTAGATTCTCCTCAGACATGTAAATTTCAAAATACACAGAAGTAACATCGGATTGGTCCCTATATTCCTGTAACACAAAATGATTCCACATTTTACAAAACAGATGAATTAACCTTAGATTTGTGCAATCCAAACATTGGCTTACCTCAATGAACTGATCCTTGGTCTTTTCACTTCCAACCATAACTGATTCCAAAAACTCCTTGTACTCCTGCGTCCACTTCCTGATCGGCAGTTCTGTCACCCTAACACCAGGTGAACCATCAATTTCTTCCACAACTCCACTTGCGGTATAGCTAGTAGGACCTGTTTTCTGGATAGTTCCACTGAAACCTCTATACCAAGGATGCATGGGTTCCATTGATTCATCATTAAGCAAACGTCTAATGTTTGCAATGATATCCCTTGGATTATAATTTGGAATAAAGGAACTCCATCCTGTACCGATCCCTTCGCTTCCATTTACAAGTACCATTGGGATTATAGGAATGTACCTATATCAAAGTGGAACAAAACTATTAAGAGGAAATGTAATGGGCCACAAGGTCAAGCATGATAGCTTTTGTTCTTACACTTAGAACACTTACCAAGTAGGCTCAATAGGCTGCCCATCTTCTTTCAAGTAATCAAGGATACCGTCGTCATCCTTAGGGAATAGGATACGCGTAATAGGGGCAAGTTTAGTAAATATATACCTTGGGCTTGCAGCATCTTTCCCACCCTGCCAGACGTTCAATAGTATAAATCAAATGGAACTAAAAGATAAACTTGAGCCTGTGGAAAGGCATCATTTAAGAGAGTGAAATTAATTAGCTAGCGCACCTGATTTCGTGTCCCAAATTGACCTTTTGGCTGGAGGAATTCAATGTTATTGCTGCCTACAAAATGCTGAGCCATACCAATAATGGTACTTGCAAGGCTTTGCTCGCCATGATGATAAGCAGAGTGTTCAGAAACATAACCAGCAAACTGGGCCACTTTTGCTTCCACGATATGAAAGTTTTTCCTCTTAAAGGCACAATAGAGAATCTTTCTTTGACCTGGCTTCAGGCCATCAACCATTGATGGAATCGATCTCTGGAGATCTGCCATCGAAAACAATATGAGTTCCTTGTTCACAAAGTCTCGATACTTGATTAACTTTTCTTTCTGATCCAGACAGGTCCCAGGCTGCAAGCAAAGCAAAACATAGAAGCTATTCTATTAGGCCAAACGAACGGTAACCAGGTAATTAACCTAAACTGACAATTCACGATAGTTCCAACCTCAAATTGTCGAAGCCAATTTTTCCTTTCTTCAATCTTCTTCTTACTGAAGGCAAGTTCTATTGCTTCTCCATCCTGTTCATCCTCCCAAATAAAATCTTTCTTGTGCTTCTCAATATCCTCAAAATACTGCTTTCCTTCATTTGCATCGCTTGTACCCAACCCCTGCCAAAGATTCATAGAATCAAAACATAAAAACCTGCAATTACAGGCCCTCCCAGTGAATTTTGGAATAATTGAAGCACAGACCTTGTAGTACTTGATTCGCCAGCGCTTTGCATCATTTCCCAAGTTTTCCTTCCATGCCTCATATTCAGGCATTGAATAAAATGACACAAATATATCTTCATTTTTCTTATCAAATGCCTGCAACAGAAGAATGTTTGAAGTTCAATTCACAATAGAAGTTGAAAATAATCTGAATGGACCTTAATATAAAATGCCAAGCTTGCACCTTCACAATAGGAGTGATAAACTCCACTAAAAAGGATGGAATTTTCAACAACGATGGCCAAAATTTGTGGATAAAGTTGATCAAGAGCCCCTTGATGTGAGAGCCATCATGATCCTAGAATTTTCAAGGGCAACAAAAATGATCAAAAAGGCAAAATTCAGTAAGGACACTCGCAATCAGATGACATGTCGGAAAGCTTAAAAATAAAGACAACAGACCTGATCCGTCATGATCATCAAGTGACCATATCTTAGAGATTTCACATTGTCATACACTTTATCTTGCTGGAGACCTAGAATTTTCTTGATATGTTGAATCTCAGCATTTTCCATTATCTGCTTATGGCTAGCTTCCCTAACATTCAAGAGCTTGCCTCTCAAGGGGAAAACTCCATAGTGATCTTTCCCAACAACTGAGATTCCAGCCAGCTGTAGAAAAAAATAAGTCACCTTCAAAAGTTCAAAACGATGGTATATACCATCATAATGAGTGAAGAGCACAGAAGCTTACAGCAAGAGCCTTTGCTGAGTCCCCTTCAGTCAAGATCAATGTGCATTTCTCAGAGTTTTTGCCCCCAGCATCATTAGCATCGGTAAGTTTTGCTAGTCCAGTTATTCTCTGTTTTTTAGTTCCATCAGTTTTCTTGAGGTCTTTGCTTAACTTGAAGTTCACCCATTCTTCAAGTTTTTCTACAACTCCAGACTTCTTGAACACTGATAGAGAATAGCCAGTTTTCACAAAATAAGTTAGCTACATCAAAACTGCAATGATTAATTTTGGAAGAATCAAAAAGAAATCAGAAAGAACAAATCACACCTTTATCAAGGAAAGCATCTGTGAGAGAGCATTTAGAACCAAAATTGCTTTGTTTCAGTGTCAAATTTTCCTTAGTTTGAGAATCAAAAGCAGGGTTGTCAATTAGAGCATTGACAAACACCCACAAATGATTTCTGACTGCAGGAGCTTTAACATTAAATTTATTTTTCTTCCTTTTTGCACCAGTATCAATGATATGACTTATTATCTGATTGGTGACATAATCAACATGAGTGCCACCCTTGATTGTTGCAATACTGTTTACAAAGCTGACCTGGTAAAAGGAAATTGATATTCAAATTTAAATAACCACACAAATAACTCCACACAAAATTTCTCAAATCGTTTGATCAGTTGTCATTACCTGCTGAAACTGTCCTCCTTCACTCAGACTCACAACAACCTCCCAACGGTCATTAACTTTCTCGTGGATACTGTACAAAATAAACCACACCACAATCACTCATCGAGACGATGAGAAAATTCTCCAATCTAAAACACATAAAAAAGAAGATTAAATCAATAATCATGGAGACCAACATTTCATGGGGATCTTCCCCGGGCTTTCTAGCAGATTGAAGGTAAAGGTTACAATAATCCTTGAAAGATTTGACCGGAACCTTCTGCCCATTTAATTCAACCTTCACTGTTTCTCCTAGACATCCTGCCATGTCAACTACACGCTTCTTCATCAGAGCAACAACATCATCCTCGAGACGAGTCATATTAAACTTTGCCAAATCAGGCTTGAACGTAACCTTGGTCCAATTCTCACTCTCTTTGCACTTAGTTATAATTGGTTGAGATTTAGTTCCCATGTTGTTAGAGAAAACCTAGAGAAAAATAGAACATGTCAAGACAGAACATATAGAGAAGGTAATAAACAATACTAACGGCAAGTAGTATCATAACCGGAACATGCTTCTACTTTCCTCCAGAAAGAGATGTAGAAGAATATATATACAACAGAAACAAAAGCAGGTCAGCAATTTCCAAGCGCTCCATTGCATTGTAACTTTAGTAGCAGAAGGTAGAACATGAATTCACATGGGAAGTTTTCCTACTCTCAGTATCAAGAACTTAGACTAAAACTGCCAAGCCGGAATTTCTATAGGATAAACGTTAGATTGTGGAGTCAAATAAAGAAGACATGCACTGAAACAGCTTTTATTATAACCTCGGCTCTAGTTCATTGGGGTTGAGCAAAATACAACATGCTTAAAATTTTAAATTTGAATTCAGCAATTCAGAACATGAAACCTCAATTAAACTGAAAGCTCGGCCAGTAATTCCAGCCTCAAACATCTTACAATAGAAAATTTTTCACTGGTGAGAGAAATCCCAGGAGAAATGTGTACAACCTTTGAAGAATGGAAACTGTAAATCAACCATCACAAAGAACGGCAGCAAAATGAATTTCTAATTTTCAGGAGGAGAATTAAACAAAGCAGGCCACCCTGGAACAGTCATTAAATAATCAAAGAACCAACAAAATAACCAAAATTCAAAGATCAAAACATAAGAATTGATTCTACTCAGAACTGTACTCATGAATGGTATGAAAAGCTCCTTATACTTCAAAATCTAGTGAGAGGCTAATTATTACATCAAGAAAAGCAGTAGAATCCTTCATGACATATAAAGAGGTGAGAAGCTAGTAAAAAAAAAAGAGAAGACAGATAAAACACCAAACACCCGAAACACACAAGAAATAGAGGATACACCTCAATTTAAAAAGCTTAAACGCTCCTCTAATCAAATTGAACCTCTAAAAGATTAAACACCTTATCATCAAAAAAAACAACCAACAAAACCATCTCATTCAACAAACAACTAGTAGTTCCAGATTTACTCAACATCAAACATCTGAGATGCAAAAAAAATAACAATAGATCAACCTGTTTGTACTTCCTCTGCCTCTTCCCATCAGCAGTTTCAATCACAAACTCAGTAGAGAAAATATTCGTGAGCTTAGCCCCATAGCCGTTCCTCCCACCAGTAGTCTTCTTCTGCGTGTCGTCATAATTACTGCTGGTCAACAGATGCCCAAAAATCAACTCAGGAACATAAACCCCTTCCTCCTGATGAATCTCAACCGGAACCCCATCCCCGTTGTTGTAAACACTAATAGAATTCTCCTCCACATCAATCACCACCTTTAGCGAGTTCATCTTAGGGTCCCTCTGTTTATTGTCGGCGGCGTTCACCAGAATCTCGTCGAAGATCTTGTAAAGCCCAGGGACATACGAAATCTCTCGTTCCACCAGGGAGTTGTTCTCGTAAACCCATAGCCTCTGTGTGTGGGCTTCAACGGACCCGATGTAAGTGTCTGGGCGAAGGAGGATGTGTTCGAGCTGAGTTTTCTTCTGGTAAGTTTCTTCGATGGTTTTTCCGGTAGGTAAAACTGGGATGTTGGCGTTGTTGCTCGATTGGAGCGGAAGCTTTGAGGATTTCTTCCCGGCGGCTGCCGCCATGGTTAGGGTTTTTTACGAGAGACACAGAGATGGTGTCTTTGATCGGAAAAAAAGAGACGAAATGACTGAGGAAATGGCAGATCTGTAAGTATAAAGGGGAGCGGAAGGAGGAGGGGGGTTAACGGTCGGGTCGAATTGTGAGATTTGAAATTTGAATTTCGAATTTGGGTCTAGAAAAAGTGGGAATGGCGCTTTGGTTTTAGAATGGCGTTTTCATCGAGGGATTTGTCAGGTGTTTTTTTTCGTTTTTCTTTTTTTTTTCTTTTTCCAAAATGGGGTTATTAATTAAAGACCGAAATTCTGAATATAATTTATCTATCTATAGTATATATATATATATATATATATATATATTATATACTAAGAGAGAAACCAATATACTAAGAAAGAAACCAAAGAGAAAAAATCAAATTTCTCCTCCCATTGACACATAGGACAAAATTCTATGTGTCATTTTCCTATAGATTGACACAAAATATATTTACAACAATTACACTAATAGTCCTTTGAATTTCCAATTAAGAAATTGTTATCAATTTTTAATTAAACTCTACTAATTAATTGTGTAGTAAACTTCTATTTTACATTCCCTAAAATTAAAAAGAAAACAAAAAATTTTTAAAATCTCAATATAAAATAAGATTGATTTGAAAAGATTATCCCATTGGCTTGAATAATGGCATTACGTCTTGATTTGATCATTAGACAATATTAATGATTATCTGAAATTCAAGAATAATAAATACCAAATCATCAATGATTCTTTAATTCAACATTAAAACTGATTGATTTGAAAAAAATTTTCCGATTAGCTTGAATAATGTCATTACATATTGGTTTGATCATTAAACAATATTAATGTTTTTTTGAAATTCGAAAATAATTAATACAAAATTAGAAGTGATTTTTTAATTGTGAAATCTCGGTAGAACTGATCTCTAAAGTTGATATACCAGCCATTAATCATCAATAGTGGAAAATCACTCTATAAAAATATTATATATATTAACCGAAAACCCATAATCCGCATGCACAATATCAAACACTCCCATTCATTTCCTTCATTGATACAACAACCACAATATCTGTAGTATATATTATACTAAAAGAGAAACCAGAGAGAGAAAATCAAACTTCTCCTGTTGACACATAGGACAAAATCCTATGTGTCATTTTCCTATAGGTTGACACAAAAAATATTTACAACAATTACACTAATAGTCCTTTGGATTTCCAATTAAGATATTGTTATCAATTCTTAATTAAAGTCTACTAATTAATTGTGTAGTAAACTTCTACATTCCCTAAAATTAAAAAGAAAACGAAAAATTTTTAAATTCACAATATTAAATAAGATTGATTTGAAAAAGATTATCCTATTGGCTTGAATAATGGCATTACGTCTTGATTTGATCATTAGACAATATTAATGATTATCTGAAATTCAAAAATAATAAATACCAAATCATCAATGATTCTTTAATTCAACATTTTAACTGATTGATTTGAAAAAAATTTCCGATTAGCTTGAATAATGTCATTATATATTAGTTTGATCATTAAACAATATTAATGCTTTTTTGAAATTCGAAAATAATTAATACAAAATTGGAAGTGATTCTTTAATTGTGAAATCTCGGTAGAACTGATCTGTAAAGTTGATATACCAGCCATTAATCATCAATAGTGGGAAATCACTCTATAAAAATATTATATATATTAACCGAAAACCCATAATCCGCATGCACAATATTAAAAACTCACATTCCTTTCCTTCATTGATACAAACAACCTCAAGCTCCTCGATCAATGTCAACCTCCAGAAGCAAAGTAAATTTTTTCATCTTTATTTGTATCTTTTTTCATTTTTCATTTTTCATTTTTTTTTTTTTGTTCAATGCAACTATGCACAAGTGAGGAAAAATAAATAAAACAAATAAGTTGAAGGTATACTAAGATGAATGAAAGTTTGTGTTTCCTTTATGCTATTGGTTGCGTTTTAATCCGATATGATGCCGAATTGTAGGAACTTTTACCCCAATATGAAGTCCAGAACGAAGGTAGTTAAACATCGGTGGTGAAAATGACTCGAAAGAGTGATTTTCCTCAACATTTCAGCATGCAAATCATTACTATCTTTTCTTATAATTATTATATTATCTCTTCTTTACTCGATTAATATTCATAATTGTTGTACTATTACATTTTCTCATGAAAATTTTTAATGATATTTTAATGCATAATATTATATTATACAAGTACAATTCAATGTTTAGCTTTTTTTTTAACTATGTATGTATAATTAATATTCATATGATTCTATTACTTCACTCTAATTTCACAAATTTTATATATTCTTTAAATATTTTAATAGTAAATATAAATATATATATATATATAAATCCCGCGCATCGTGCGGGTAACATCTAATAAGCTAGTAATGAAATTTCTATTTGAAAAATAATTATTTTAATAAAAAATGAATGTGGTATTTTTCTTCAGTGGATTGTGTGTGCTACTCATACAGTATTTTTTTTTTTTATTTGTGTGTCCATATATCATCTTGAGCTCTTTTTGCGAATTTTTCTATTTTTATATTTTCGTTTGTAATGAATATCCCTGAACACACAATTACATTTTTTAAAAAAAAAACTCTCATAAAATGTTTGTACAAATTAAATTTGTCGGAAATTCTAATGGAATTTCATTGCAGAAGCTTCTGGAGGTTCCAATTTGTTACCAAATTCACAAAATCGAGAAATTGAAAATTAGGGTTCCTAGAATTGATAAAAGAGGGAAGAATCTTAACTGTATAAACTGTGTATTTCATTAATTGTGTAAAAGTAGTATTCGCATCTGTATAGAGTTGGCTTATACACCTCTAACTTAGTTGACTAAATCTGTGCTAATTACATCTAAGTCCCTGAAGTATGTACAAGCATACAAAACAACCCTATTGACTAAAACTGTCTATACACTATGTACTGTTACATTCATCAATACCAGCTTGTACATTATTCATCAGCCCCCTCAAGGTGGTGCTTGATGAAGATCAATCAAGCCCAGCTTGGTAATAAAACTGAGAAGCGGCAAGAGATTTAGTAAAACAGTTAGCCAACTGGTCCTTAGAGCTAATATAATGAAGCTGAAGAAAACCACTTTTAAAATAATCTCGAACTATATGGCAGTCTATTTCGAGATGTTTCGTTCTTTCGTGAAAAATAAGGTTTTCAACAATATGTTGTGCAGCCTAATTATCACAATGCAAAGGAACAGGAAAACGAGTGGACACATGAAGATCTCGCAATATGAAGGATATCCATCTCAATTCTCGGACTGTGGTGCCTAAAGTGTGGTACTTAGCTTCAGCTGATGAAGTAGAACCTGTATCCTGTTTCTTAGTTTTCCAGGAAATCAGACTGGAACCAAGAAAGATACAAAAACCTGAGATCATCTAGTAACCTAGCAGCTTGCCCAATCTGAATCACTATAGGCCACCAAATCAAGGGAAGAAGAAGAGGAATAGAAAAGTCCCTTGGAAGGGCAACCCTTAAGATACCTCAGAACATGCATCATAGCGTCCTAATGAGCTTCAAGGGGAGCTTGCTCTCAGTCTTCCATCCGTGTTTCATCCGCGAAACCTTACAAGTGGACAACATAGATGAACGGGATGTCCAAAATGGATTTATCCAAGCGCTCAATCCATTTGGAAAATCCTCAATGCTAAGAGTAAAACTCTCGACTAAACCTCCCAGGAACTCTCAAAAGATGTGGGCTATTGTTGAGAATTATATTCAACAAGAACACACACTCAAGCGATCACAAGAATCTTTCACGCTAGTAGGGCCGAGAGACAAACCAGGGGTTAACACGGAAAGTAAAACAACGTTGCCTAAACTCGATAGGCAGTTGATGCCTTTGATTAAACTACATCGAGAAATCCTCCAGATTTACAAGGATGAGTTACCTACCCCCAAACCCTTGGCACACAATCCAAACAGGTCAACGGAACAGTATTGTGAATACCACAAGGACCACGGTCATGATGCTGAGGACTGTTGAGAACTCAAAAGGGAAATCGAGAATGGAGTTAAGTCTGGCAAATTCCAGCAATACGTGGAAGGATCCTCTCGACAAAGGAACAGCAAATCTAGTACATCCCCAAGTTTCCCTAAACGAAGTTTTAGAGGTCTTCGGGGAAAAAACCGTGGGAATAATTGGCAACCAAGGAACAATACGCAACAAACTCCTCAACAAGCTATTGAGGAAGCTCCACAACTGCTTCAGCATATCCCCCGGCGGATCCCAGCAAGCAAATCATTCACCAGGTGGGTGCCATTTATAGAACTCCTGTCGAAGTTTTATCCACCACAGCCATGAAAAACTCAGTGCAGACTGTCACCAAAACTCCCCGTCAGGAACCTAGCCACAGGAGGTTTAAAGGGACAGAGACCATAGTCTTCACCAACAGAGACGTAGTCCCAGATATCTGTCCACACAGTGATGCCATGGTTATCGAGGCGATAATCAGAAACGTGCAAGTTAGTCGAGTTTATGTGGACAACGGTAGTGCAGTCGACATCATATACAGCGATTGCTTCAAGAAGATGAACATTCAAAACCCTAACATCCGCCCACCAACAATGCCATTGATGGCTTCTCGGGCCACACTATTATTCCAACCGGAATCATAAGTCTCCCCATCATGGTAGGGTCACATCCCAGAATGGTTACATTCTATGGATTTCGCCTTAATGGATGCACCCTCGTCGTTCAATGTGATCCTGGGACGACCTTGGATGTGCCAAGCCTGAGCAATTTGTTCTCTTACCACCTAATGATGAAATTTCCCATAGAATACGGGGTTGGAGTAGTGCAAGGATGCCAGCGTAGTGCTCGAGAATGCTTGCTCACAGTTTTCAAGATTGGGAAGAAAACCATAAAGTCTAATCCAAGCACTGCCATGCGGGATGCTACTCGATCCAACAAGTAGCAGCACAATCACAGCCGGAGGATCGCGACACTAACAGCCTGCCACCACTTAGTAGCAAGACACAAGAGCTTGTTCTTAACGAGGCGGATCACTCCAAGACCATCCAGATAGGAATATCCCTCCACGAAACATTGCTGGCCGAGGTAGTCGCCTTGCTACGCGAGTTCCGTGATATATTCGCCTGGTTACTAACACACATGAAAGGAGTACACGGGACGTCATTGATCACAAGTTGAATGTCGGCCCCAATGTCAAACCCGTGCAATGACGTCATCAATGAAGAAATGTTGAAGCTGATCCGCACTCACATCCTCCGATAAGTTCTTTGGCC